AACCTCTGCAGTTTGCTAAGCCAGAAGTGAGCGCCGGGAGACCCGGAGGCTAATCGTGGCTGGTCCCTATAAGAGAGACTCTCCGAGGAGCTCACCCATCTGCGATGGTGGCCCCCTTCAGCCGCTTGCGCGGCCCCCCCGACGTGGAGTGCGATCACCGAAGTGACTGCGTGGCGTGGAGAACGCCAACCCGCCGTATCATCTCTCCGAGGAGCTCACCCATCTGCGATGGTGGCCCCCTTCAGCCGCTTGCGCGGCCCCCCGACGTGGAGTGCGATCACCGAAGTGACTGCGTGGCGTGGAGAACGCCAACCCGCCGTATCTCTCTCCGAGGAGCTCACCCATCTGCGATGGTGGCCCCCTTCAGCCGCTTGCGCGGCCCCCGACGTGGAGTGCGATCACCGAAGTGACTGCGTGGCGTGGAGAACGCCAACCCGCCGTATCTCTCTCCGAGGAGCTCACCCATCTGCGATGGTGGCCCCCTTCAGCCGCTTGCGCGGCCCCCCGACGTGGAGTGCGATCACCGAAGTGACTGCGTGGCGTGGAGAACGCCAACCCGCCGTATCTCTCTCCGAGGAGCTCACCCATCTGCGATGGTGGCCCCTTCAGCCGCTTGCGCGGCCCCCGACGTGGAGTGCGATCACCGAAGTGACTGCGTGGCGTGGAGAACGCCAACCCGCCGTATCACTCTCCGAGGAGCTCACCCATCTGCGATGGTGGCCCCCTTCAGCCGCTTGCGCGGCCCCCGACGTGGAGTGCGATCACCGAAGTGACTGCGTGGCGTGGAGAACGCCAACCCGCCGTATCTCTCTCCGAGGAGCTCACCCATCTGCGATGGTGGCCCCTTCAGCCGCTTGCGCGGCCCCCCGACGTGGAGTGCGATCACCGAAGTGACTGCGTGGCGTGGAGAACGCCAACCCGCCGTATCTCTCCCCGAGGAGCTCACCCATCTGCGATGGTGGCCCCCTGCAGCCGCTTACGCGGCCCCCGGACGTGGAGTGTGCGCTCGCCGCAGCGGCGACACGTGGCGCGGGGTACGCCTCCAGTCCATAAAACACCCCTGCTTGGCCGCTTACGCGACCCGTCGGTCCCCTACGCCCACACCCGCGACTGCGAGTGCAGCGCGCCCGCGTCAGATCTTCGACCCCGTCGGCTCCCCTAGGGGAGGATTCCCTCCGACGTGACTGCCCCGACCTTAACAACAGTTATAGCGAAAAAGCTGCACGTGTAGCAGTTGAGGCTCTTTGTCGCACGCAACAACGTAAACGGCGTGTATCATACCAATACGTTCACAAAGCCGATGTTGTAATATTTTTCGTCGAAACTAAGTAGCAGTTCATGTATGGTCGACGCAACCAACGTACATTTATATACGGTTGTGACAATCCCAGTGCTCTCCCGTCTAAGTTCTTGCGCTAGATGCCATCCCTGCATCCTGCATCGCAATTCCTGATTTTACCAGTTTACTTTTGGCCAAACCTGTTGATTGACCGTACAAGTTTTGGTGTACTACAACAACAACCGTTTATCTCAAATTACCACAGCTTTCTCTGCATTTTTGCCGGACCGTAAACCCGAGCTGTTGCAAAGTGCTGAACAGACTGGAATCGACTGTCGATCCTGATTCTATCAGTGCGTTCCCTGCTTTTGGACATGTGGCTGCCACAAGGGACACTGTTGTCCAGTCGCTTTCATCACTAGCAAAACAGTGGGTAAGCACACTAGAGTGATAGTGTGGTCTCTTTCTATATTGCAAATTATTACAGCACCAACAAGTAGTCCCTACACCGTGCGTTCCGAGTGGGACGAGCTTGCAAACGAACAGTTCGTGGCCGAGTGCACAGCAAAGTTGTGCAGTGTGTGCAACTTACTGCCTACCACTTGCGCCCGGGCGGCCTCGGCGGGATCGAGCTCAAACGCTTCCTTAATGCACGACGGGCAGAACGATGTCTTGCGCTCTTCGAATGTCAGGGCGAGCGTCACGCATTGCAGTCGTTTCTTGACGCAACACGTGCCACAGACGAGGCGGTGGCAGAGTTTGCACGAGTCGCGCGAGCGACCAAACTTACCAAAGAGGCGCGGGCTAATGGGGATGCCGCAGTTGACACACGGCCCTTCGTCAACGTCCGTCGTGTCGTGCTGCTTGTTGAGTATGTGGCGACGTTGCATGAGCCACGTGAGCTTCTTCATCTCCCCACAGTGTGCAAACTTAAGGCACGTAAAGAACTTCATGGCCGACGGCGTGACGAGGAGCGACTCGACGGCTGAGCCGTTGGCCACAACGCCAGACGCGTAGACATCGACGCACTTGTCGTGCTTTTGCCGGCAGAGAAAAAAGGCATTGACGATGCCCCGAACGCGCTCTGGCAGCTCGGGGGTCTGTGGGAACCCAATCGAGTACATTAAGCGATACCCAACGCGCTCGCCGTTTGCGAGGTGCGTGAACCCCGTCGCTTCGATAAAGACAAAGTCGCGCTTGCTCGAGTGCATGGGCAGATTAAGCTCTTGCCACTTGAGCGCGAGCGTCTCGAGCGGTTCTTTCTTGGTGGGCTCCACGACCGTAGCAAGGACCGCTGCCCCCGTGAGGTCGTCCACGTACGTGGAATCGTGGCACATATCCTCCGACGTTGTGCTTACCGTCCCGAAGACGACGTCGTCGAGGTTGCCTTGCAGCGTGCCCACGCAGAGCGCCACGGGTGTACCCGCTTGTTCCGATGCTTCGTTCATCATGGAGCAATTGCCCTCTGTTGTCGTGCGCACCTCTCGCTCAAGGTACAGCCTGAGGTTCTCTCGAGTTTTGAGGAGTTTCCAGCACTGCTCGTCGACGCGACACTCGTTCGCTTTGAGGTACGTCTCGTACGAGTGCATGGATTCCATTAGGAAGGCATTGGCCGTCTTTTTCAGATGGACGTTGTCTCCAGAGGACAGGTCCATGGATGGAAACGGGTTCATGACGAACCGTTTGCAGCCGCCCATCGTGTATGTGTGTGTAGTAGGAGGAGGAGCCTGTAGAGGCACGTGTGGGAGATGCGGTGCTACGTAGTTGCTACTCTTCCTTTGAAGCTGTGCGTGAGGGCACAAGTTGGAATGGCTGGTGGGACCGCAAAGGGGATCGGCGACGACCGTCGGGCTGAGGGCGCATCGAGACGACTGCGATTGCTTTCACCACGTGCGCCACGACAAAAGGGGCATCGCAGACACGTTTCGTGCGCGTCGAGACACGACGCAAAGAGACAGACGCAAGTGGAAGGGCCGTCTTCGTTGCGGCATTGGCGAGCCCAATAGTGTTACTACGGCTCTTTTCCTCGTTGCAAGCTCAACACGTGGTTTGCATGGCGGACGAGGCAGGTGAATGCTGTGGGACGAACACAAATCGACGCGATGCTGCGAGGGCTCTGTACCGTTGTCAACGTAGTGCACGTGTGTGTGTGTGTGCGGCGTGGGTGTGTTTGTTTGGCCGAATGAGCTGATCACTCGAGCTCGGATGACACTGCCCAGAGAGGACAGAGACCGCGGGGCTAGAAAAGACACGCGAGGGGCAACGGATGGACGTGCGTCGTTCTTTGCTTTTGCAGACGGGGGACGACAGGGACTGACACAGTCCTCGTGGCAAGGTGCATTCTCGACGACGAAAGCGCCTAGGCCTTTTGCATTCTGGCAAGTCTGTTGCATTGTGGCAAGTCTGTTGCATTGTGGCAAGTCTGTTGCATTGTGGCAGTTGCCGTAATGCATGAGGGGGGCCATTGAGCTCGGCACCTGGCAAGAGAGGGTCTATCTACACGGCGGGTTGGACCAGTTCGTCGAGGCGGAGCGGGTCGTCCCGAACACACGACCAGCGCGTCTGGTGGCTTTGTGTCCCGATTGTTGCAACAGGCAACACCAACGACGATGTCGACGTCGAATGTCCGCCTCCCGAGATCACAACTACGCACTTGCAGGCAGTCAAGTGGCAGTGGCGGCTGCTTTTGTGTGTTTGTCTGGACATTCCGATGGGGCGAACAAGGGACACGTGCTACGTGATTGAGCGAGCCCTTCTCATCAAGAACGAGTCACACGCTCTGTTCTTGACCCGGCTGTTGACACCCGGAGCACTAACGTCTCTCGATATGCTTGTCCACCGTAGAATGACGACGCGAGCATATGCCATGTCACTCATCGGTCGATTTGCTGCCTCTGTCCACGAGTCCGCGTCACGGCCTGAGCGAGGCGACGTCGTGATGCGGTAAATTGTACTCACACCGTACACATAGCCCAGCCGACTGTCTGTGGATTCTCTCTTGTGCTCACCACTTTCCATGCAACCTGCTAATGTCCCGCATCGACTCGCGGCGCTTGGCCCATCGAACGACGTTTGCTTTCTGTTCAGAGAACGTGGCCGTTGCTCAGAAGTGACGCGAAGCTGTACGACTCTGCGACGGGCGAGCGGAAGTAATGGATAGCGCAGAGCAGCTTGTGAACACCGCCTGCTCTTGGTACAAAAGCTTTGAGATTGTAACATGCGAGATTTCTTGGTAGCGAATACTTCGCGTGGTAAGCCCGTGCATTGGCACAATCTCCAGCCCTAGGTGGAGCATCGGACCGCACAGTCGAACGCGCAAGACCGTTTGATACTAGTCGAGAACACGCACAGGTCGAGATCCAGCGCAGTTGGTATGCACAATCGGCACGTTGATGGTGCAATAGGACCTCAACAAGCCAGATCGAGGCAGAGCATCGGAGCTCGTGCGTAGTCGACACGTGCTTTCGGTGAGAGCATATGGGCGTTCGAAACTGCCGCCAGCTCTCGTGCATTGTGTTTTTGCTGCATGGAGTCTTGTCGCACGAATCCCTTACTGTCAAAACGACGGATCGGTGGATTGGCTGTCCATTATTTGACTGATGTAGCATCCCCGACCATGAGCAGACGTGCAGGCATCGTGGCACTCCTTGTCTGGCGGTCGTAACGCCGTCAAAGATCGAGGTGGTCGCTCCGAGACCAGAAAGGAATTGAACAGGCTATTGCCGAATTTTATGGTCAAGTGACGTGCCGAGGAACGATTTGCGACTCATAGATTCAGTGTGGTGCAAAGCCTGATATGCACAGGGCAGACGTGGTGGAAATTACGTCGGAGGATCGCGCGGCTGCCCGGAGGGGTACTGGTCCAAAGCCGTACGTCGCTTCGTCATGGCGATTACGTGAGAGACTTCTCATCAGTTCGTTTTTGGGTAAAACAAACGTGCAGCAACGTCTACTGACTCAACTACATGAAAAGCTGCTAGAGTGCATGTGCGAGTGCTAAAACCTGCAAACAGTATGCCTCAAGATGTCGAGGCTGCGATTATCGTGCACGCTTTGTTGGCGAACTTGGCGCATCGCTAGATTGCGAATTATTCACACGGATTCATACGCAAAGAGCTCGGGTGATCGATGGAATACAGGGTCAACTAAAAGCAGGACCCGAAGTGATGCCAAAAAGGTATATGTAAGTATCGGTCTTGTGGATCTTGGACGTAGAATCTGAGTCCCTAAAGTATCGACGGTATGCTAAGATTAAGCCGCCGCTGCAACGATTTAGATGATCGACTTTAATGTGCAAAAGCACGCAACTTGTCACACGCCACTGTCTCATTTGAGCTCACTGGTAGTCGATAATTGTAGCTCTTGTGACTTGTAGACCAAACACGTGCCATGTTTCTGTGCTTAGCGTGTTCTAGTGTCAGACCTGCGAAAGTGTGCTATGCCCAATGCAAGGATAACGTTGCAAGAGTCTAAATGTCGGTTTTGTCAGTACTTTTTCATACATTTTATAAGGCGTGGCAAATAAGGGCACAGTCACTTGATTTGAATGACTAGATAGCAACAGGCTTACGTGATAAGTGACAGCAAACACGAGCAAAAACGAAGGGACAGAAAGAAGTCGAGAGAGTGAACCTCGACTGTCATTTGATAGAAGTACCCCCAAAACGCGTTCCTAAATACACCTTACCTTCTCAGCTCATCTAGGAGTACAACCAAAGCAATGGGGTATGCGGGTATGCGCATATTTATCAGACTTGCGAAAAACTTGATCTACATGTAAAATCGTGCAGACCATTTTATCGTAAATGACGGCCTCTTTGCTTAGTTTGACTCAATCGCCATGCGCAACGCTGAGTTGAAGAATACACATACGTCCATATAGGCATAGCGATTTGATAAATACCAAATAAGATAAAAGAAACGTTTGTGTCAGGGCTAACAACTCGGACGAAACGCGCTGTTGGCAGTGAACATTGCGGAAAAGGGACCAAGTATGCAGAGTACAGGCCTCCGCCACGACTCGCCTTAGAGTGCGTGTATAAAGATCCTTCATCTGCTTAATCACGAAAAGAACGCTGATATGTAACAGCTTGGTAGCGTGTCTAAGACTTACTATGCGACCAGAACAAAAGATGGAGCTGCGTCATGAGGATCCATGCGCCAATCATGTACCTTTGGCCGGTGGCAACTATACAGATAAAGCGTCGAGCCCTATCACCCGGCCACAACATTGGATGAGCTGCACATCAGATTTTGCATGCCCCGTGCTAGAGACTTCCCACATGCAAATGGCGTGTGTCGAATGGAGTGACTAGGTAGACTGCAAAACGTGTAGCTTGAGACATACAGACAAGTGATATACGCACATCAGCGTCACGTTAACGACAGAATGTCTGTATGGTCCAACCGTTATGTAAACTTTCGAAATATTCGAGGCACAAAGTGATGAGGTATTTGCTGCAGAGAGGTGCAATCGAGCTAGATATATACAGTCTGTGTATAGTGGTAACAGTACATGTCCACAAGACCTTTTACCTTGTGCCTATGTCATCGTAATTTCTCCAATACATACCTCCCCCAATTTGCTGTCCACCATTCTCATATTGGGCTTCACGAAGATGCATCACCTAGTGCTGACTGACTATCTACGCACTTGTTCATCGATGTGCGCCAGATATGTGGAACGACACATTGGTCTCGCTGAAGAAAAGCTTCGAGTCGGCTCCAAGCCACACAAATCCTTCACTGACATATCCTGTGAGTGCGAACAAGATGCGGGTGTTGACAGAGGTTTCGAATGCAATAATGTAGACTTTGGTGACAGTATGATGGGCAAAGAGTGTGTTACACGGCAAATCAACGGAGCGATGTGCGTATCGACGCTCAGCGATGGGCAACTAAAGGTGTGTATCGCACCGCCAACCGACCCGGTAACAGATACGCTCACTACTAGCTTTAAGGCCGTCAATACATGCGTGGTGCCGATGTCTGAGCGCCAGAAGCTGCTGTCAATTGACTCGTTTGTGATCATAACAAGTCAACAGTGTAGCGTATCCACCACTCCTTGCCTGATAATGGCCTACGCCTAAGACGCCACTTGGTTCTTTATCAAAATCGCGACTTAACGAGTCTACTAGTTCAAAGAATAATAGGCACTAAACGAACCTACTAGTTCAATTACAACGACATAAGAGTAAACTAGCTCGAAGGTCTGATTATTTAGGACACAAAGAGAGTCACAGAGCTCCAAGTCTGGGTCTACGAATCGGTGTAACACCGATTCGTAGAACCAAGTGGCAATCAGCACCCAGGAGTACACGCCTTCAGAAGGCTTTAAGGCGCTTGTGATGAGAGGATGCCTTGATAAGGCACGTGTCACTCATCGACTAAAATGCGAGATGCGATTTTACAACTTGTAAAAGGGTGATAAACTCTTATCGAAGTCCCTAAGTATGAGGTTGTACTCCCATTCGGAGTCTGGGTGGCCGGCCGACACGCGTCAGCCTGCAGTTGATGTGCTTAGTACGACACCGATTCATACAAGTGGTCCACCTTAGGGTACACGTACCCATAGCGTGGTTATACCACCAAAGTGTAAACAGTTACAAACACTGGTAGTAAGGAACAACGATCTGCAAAGCAATCGATGACATTGTCGACACCATTAACGGAAGATATTATGTGGTCTACAAACTTTCCCATTAGGTGGCAAGACCCTGCAAGTTTCACCCTGAAACAATCATGCGCCTCAACAGACGCCGTCTCTCCTCTTGGTGATTTCTCAAATCTCATGGTGTGCATGCAGAGTCAGCCACGCCTCAAACCGCTTCCCGACTTCATTTGCACGCATCACGACACCATATTTAATCTCTCGAAGTTCATATGGCACTGTCAGCTACAATTGACAGTTTCGCACATATGTGAGATGACGAGGACGTATCAGCGACCAACCTTAACCCCACATAGCGTACTCTCTTTCAAACAGATACCGAGCGTACGTGAGCTCGTCAGAAAGACCGCGATTTCTTCGTTGCGGCATCACGAAACAAAACAGCTCACCATATTTTGCTATCTGATGCAACTCATGTCTCCTTCTATGACATGATGCAACAGAGCGATACCTGTACGCCTCAAAAATGGCTGATACAGTCATCTGAGTCTACAACTTCGTCTCACACGTGGCCTAAACGGCGGAGCAATCATATCCGGTCCCATGCGCTGATCCTCCTCTTTCTAGAACTTCGCTACGCGATATGTGAATCCATGGCTTGCGTCGTCGACCCTGCTGTCATCAATCTTCACTATGTGGTGTGTCTTTGGTTAGTCGCCACGAGATATAAAAGTTCTAGTAAAACACTTTCTATGGGCACTAGGATACGGAAATTGGGCTGGCGGAGGTGGGAGACCAAAAAGAAGTTTTATCATATGAACAGCAGTTACAGACACGTTTGCGGCATTCGTGAAGTTATACTCCATTTATCCCTGTTCATTTGCGCGGAAACTGCTCCACGAAGACTCCATGGACTGACTCCATCGTTAGCCATTGTAGTAAGTCTCAACGTATCTTGGGAATTGAATCCTCGTGTGCGTGTGTCGATCGATATGTTCTCAGTTATCAGGAGCCCATGAGCATTCGATCGACATCGTGACCAGTTGCGTCAAACATTCCGCTGCCTCAACCAGATGTTGAAGCTCTAGATTCGATAGCTAAATGGAGAAGCCGTCCTGTGCGCCTTGTTCTGAAGTCTGAACCATCAACCCGAGTCACAACGAGATGATTGTTAGGTAAGTAAGTACATGCTTTCTTGGCTTGAAGCTTCACGTTCTTGTGAGCTCCTCGGTCGTTATCCACCAGCAAAGATTGATGTAGCAAGGTAAATCTGACAGACTCTAGATGATGCTGTTCGAAAGATTGCAATATCCGTCGTGACATTATGTAAGGACAAAATCGGCGGGCGTCATGATCATGAGTTCGATTCTTGGTGCATGTTGGTCTACAACACCCACGTAACAACATTCTTAGCCCGCCTGTTGAATCCGCACATAAACATTGCACGGGGTGACACCGTGCCAGTACACCTAGCTAAGAACGACCATTGATTGTCCGGTCGTGGAACGTCATGCTGATCGGTTTGAGGCTGTGAATGAGCCTTATTCCTATTGTATGGGTGACTAAGACCCCGATGCGAGGTAGGGGAATCCGCTGACAAGCTGTCCTAACGTCTCCTGTGCTGCAAGACACGAAATCGATGTTTACTCGTCAAGTATTGGTTAGTAGTGCCCACCTGATCCCGGGTACTTGTTAATAATTACGCTGGGACACGCGCGACGGTATGCTTGGTTCCAGTACGGACGAACACTGATATTGACTATTCTGGACGGAGACTTGTTCGTCGATACTGACGAGGATAAGGCTGCAAATGCATCGGCCGCATCATGACAATGTCAAAACGTACTTGTATCTGCCTTGTACATAAAATGGCTGAAAAAGCTCGAATCGAGAAGCACGAGTCGTTACATGCACCCTACTAGCACAAGAGCTTCCATCGCCTGTGTAAGACGGATGGAAACGTAAGATAAATGCAAGTCAACGCAGCAAATGTTTTTTAGATTTAAAGTATATTTCCATAGTTATAAAATTGAAATATTCAATTAAAAAACGATAAGTTTTGATGAATTACAAAAAACAATATAATTTGTAATAATAAATCCTTTACAAGTTTGTAAAATAGTCCTCACATTTATTCAAGCCTCATTTTTAAATCTTATAAATAAAATAGTGATTTGGCTTGTTATAAAAGTGTAAAATATTGCAGGTAAAAGGGTTTAAATTAATGGTAGTATTACTTGTGAATAGATATACATACAACTTTTTTTATTTAGTGAATGTTGTTACGAATAAAATAAAGCCTCTGAACGTGTCAGCACAAACTATCACAATCCAGCAGAGCAGAGCAGGAAAATAGCGCACCCAATCGTCGACAAAGGTAGAAGAGATCGGCATTGAAACAAAGCTAGTGCGGCGCTTTTCGATACTGCAACGATAGAGTCGGTCGGCACGACCTGTAGGTTATCGATCGTTAAAATACGCGGTTGGATGAGATCGTGGCCGTTGCGATGGTGATGTAGCACACACTCTATTCAGTTATTCGAGGCTTGACTCCAATCGAAGTTGTAGCACTCATGTTTGTAGGGTGCAAAGATTGCAAGCTCCACGCAACATACCTGCAGTAAGAACGACCACGTTGGCTATCACGCAATGACGCACGAGCCTTCCTGTGCACATACGATACACTCGCAACGTGTGCGTCCACTGCAGAGGTCGTCGAGGCATTCACTCGGAATGCAGCAAGCCACTTGTTGTACAACTTGACCTGCATCTATAGTAGCGCCCATAACCTGGACAATCCTTTATGTGCAAAGAAGCTCGCATGGGCCGTACGGGGGCGTGACACGTCTACACTTGCAGCGCTATCCCAGTTCTTCGCTCGAAGGAGGCACAACAGCAGCTGCTCAACTTGCTGGAAACCTGGTGGCTGCTCGTACATCTCGCGTGCATCGGTTGGTCTGTATTACTACGCTTCACTTGGTCTTTGGGAACGTGCGTTGGAGTACTGCGATCCTACGACGTTGCTGATACAGCACGTCACTACGGCCGGTACCGAGATATTCGGCGTACATCGTCCTCATTGTGTTGCCACCGTCTGTCTCGATAGTGTGACCACGTGTTGGGCAACATCCGTCTCGAAAGTATGGCCACCTGTACGCTGCCGTCCTAGCGTCTGTTCCGAGCTCATGTAGCTGGAAGAGCGAAAAGCGCGTGAGTAAACAAAGAATCGAGCAGGTTCACGAGAGTATCCGATCGTCACGCGTGCGTTCTCTGGATAGAATCGCCTGGCAACGTACCACTTTGTAGCGCTCACATGTGGACTCAGGAAGCAGTGTCGAGACCAGAGGCTTTCGGATGAATGGGTTGCATGATACATTCAAGTCGCGCGAGCGTTGCGTGCAGTCCAACTTGACAGGAGCGCTAGGATCTGTCTACACTCGAAGGTGATGTCGTTCTTGCCAATCCCGACCGAAGGAGCCACCGGATGGTCTTGTGTCGTACTAGCCAGCTATCGGCGCTTGCGTTCCAGGTGTAGTCACATCCGATTTACACTCGTCTTCTACGGACAAGCTTTCCTCGCTTGCTTTGGCCTTGCAATGGACCAAGCTACGAGTCCATTCGTGCCACTGGTACTGTTGCCGCATGATGCTATTCAGTTGACGGAAGTCGCTTACGTCTTCGTCCAGCGTCATGTGGAGGCTTACGATCGGCACCTGCATCAAGACTGCGAACTAATCGACAAGAAACAATGGAGACCGATCCAGCAGCGCGGCGACGTGCAGGTTTTCCTGGCAGTGCAAAGCTGCAAGCGATCGGAGAGTGCAAAAGAATCGGGTGTCCGTAAGCAGCAACAGTATACAAACTCGGCAGCTTTGCCCGAACTGTTGACCGTGGGTCACGTGGGTGGCTCTCTGGACGATGTGATGCTAGGCGCCATGACCCCAACGATCGCTTCGATGCGGCTCAAACACTTCTACGCGGGGATCGAACTCAACGAATGTGCTGTGTTGGCGACGATTGATTGTCCGTCACCTGCGGACCCCTTCCAATCGCTCAACATCAAGTGGGCTGAAGGGTACCAGCCTCCAATGGTCCGCTCGGTCGCACGTGACCGTGACTTTGTGTATATGGAGGCGACGGGTTTCGCGAAACTCCGTGACGGCGAAGAGGTTGGCTACCACCTTCTTCACTCGGTGCACTTTCCTCAGACGCCAAAGGTAGGCAGAAACGTTCGAGGAACCATATCCATGTGTGAGCTGTACAGACAACGGAACCACAGCACCGTAGACCTGTACGCTCGAGCTTTGATGGATTTCGGAGGACGACTTGGTCGATCATATGCAGTCAAGTGTGCATCGACAGCACTCCTTTCAGTGCGTCACGTGGTCCGTTGCGCCCATTTGAAGAAGCTCGCGTGGCTACTGAGACTAAGTGATCCGACCGTGGTCTTCCAAGGAGAGCTGAAGTGCATTGACTGTCGTCGGCGGCCTGGTCTTTTCGTCACCGATATCGGGTCCTGCGCTCTTTGTAAACGCGCCTTGTGCATGTCGTGTAGATTGAAGATCGAGCTGGGGTTCGTCGGTCTGACAGGATGCCTGGCAAAGAGGAAGCTGTGGTTCTGCAAGTACTGCTGGGACGAAGCAGCGCAGACGAGCTCGCGTGTTGCTGCAATCGAAGAGTATGCCGATACGAGGTCAATAGAACAAAGTGGATGGAGCAGTGACTCGCCATCCAACAGCGCGCTGTCCAACGCAGGACGTGGCGATGTTTGGAGCTTTCTAGGATGAAATCGCTGCTCGTATCTAATGCTCAGACTGTAAACTTGGATGTGGAATAGCTCGGAGTGGCACAGCTTATACAGGCATGTCCGAGTCGATCGAGAAGGAGGCCGCTAAGGAACTGCTGATACTTACGCATTGACCTTAGGAAATACAAAATACCATTGTAAACACGACGATATGACACTTTGCGTGCGGATACACTACTGCGGTGGTCAAAAAAGGATATGGACTTCATCACTGATGATCACACAGATACCTCGCGATAATGTGAGACAGTCGGAGCTTTGCGGTGGTCTAGCGATGTCAGATCTGCTATTTGTATGCGTGAGTCACCTGGTTTTCACCATGAGAATTGCGTTAGTGTCGGTACCGTTGCTGGTTCTACAGACCTATTACGACTTGATCGTTGTGTTGTGTGCCAACATAACATATCGCCAACGTCGCGACTGGAGCATCATGTACAATTTACATGCTCGGCGTCGTGATTAATCGACGAGGTCAAAAATTTGTTGAGTCAACCCATCGCTCTGTAAGACTATATTGTTTACATCCTTTGCAGCTCACGAGATGTCTGCCCACCAACTCGTTGACACGGTACTCTCGCTACCTCTAATGGACATGATATCACCATTTGTAGCCTTGCACAGGTAAGAGAGACAGAAAGCGGCGACGGGCATTATAATTAGCAGATTCTGTGTGCCCTAGTGGTACGTTGCGAGAAGCCACACCACTTCAATTAGCATTTGATTATGTCAAGGGGGAGACCATCCATTTCGTGTAGTGCCTACTTGAATACAGCGTAGCAAAGAGTGTGCACATACCCATTGTTGTGCAAATGCCTTTTCGCTTGCATGCAATCTCAGACCATAATATTCTTACATATTTCCTACACTCTTGCCAATTCTTCGATTCGTCAAAGGCGTCTCCATAGACGTGCAACTGCGAGACCAATTGGTGTGCCTTGCGGTCAGCAAGGTGGCCTTTAGAACCTAGCAGAGGGTAATTGAACATTGTTCTTGTGATTTTTAAATGGAAACAAGAAAGACCGCTATCTTCATTTCTGGGCAATCGAGCTTTACAAGTGTACATCGCCACAAAAGCATAACAATAACAAGCTAAGGCAAAAGCATTTGATCTCTTAGCAGTTTGCCTGCATCGCTGTTTCCAAAAACCTGATCATGCGACAGGATCGCACCAAAATCCAGACACATCGATCTTGATACATGGTCTCACAGAAAGAAGCTGCTCTACACTTGCAGGCCCACACTGATGTGTATACATATTTTACTACCGATGGCACATAACATCCCCCTCATCTTAATTTGTGGTACACGCAAGATAAACGCTTGGTATTTGGTGTATGTACAATCATTCCGCAACTGTTTACGAGTATATTTCGCGAAAGGTGTTGCAATCTATTTTTTGCAAGATATCACGCAAGGGTGTTTAAAACAGCGCATTTGTGTTTTGAACCGGAAAACACAGGAACATACACGAAGATCGCTTAGCTAACTTAGCGGTTTCAATTTGCAAACTTTACGATATATAGCGACCTCAAGCCGTACTGTGATCAGTGTAAAATCACTTATCAAATCTGCCAGTCAATCTCTAACTAGCCATTCGGCTCACAGCGACGGTATTCGAGCTTCAATATAAAGTCAAGTTAGACACCAAGCAACTCCAGAAGTAGTATCATGGAAACATTCAACATCGACAAAGCACCGTTGGCAACAATTTGTTGCTGCAATTTTACATTACGACAGACTGACAGAGTCTACGCCTTGTTGTGAAATGATGTATATGTGAGTTGCATCAACACCATAATTTCCTCAATTGTTACAGAATCGCATCTAGTCGAGCGACAAATGGAACATTGAAAGCAATGTTTATTGTCGCACTGATCGTCCAGTGTCATGCAAACGTTAAGCCATTGTGAATCAGAGAATTGACAGATCAGTCGGCTAAACTCGTAGAATATGACAAAAACAGCTCAGCATTTTTCGTCTCTCTGTCACGATACAATTCATTGTAGACAGCAGTTGCTGTAGCTCGGTGACAAATTTGATCGCAAACATTCTGGCGAAAGAGGTCGGGCGTCTCCAGTAACCTGATATAAATCACTGAGGTTGCTATCCTTAATGTAACGTACCAATCAAATGTGCTCTTTTCAGCTCGTTCTTGTACAGTCTCACATTGATGTAGCATGTCTTTCACACCTCGTGGAATGGGCCGCGCCGTACGGCATTTATGCGCGAGTGCAGCATCTCGAATCGCTTGAGAGTACGTTTATGGGTCGCTGACTATTATGCATGCAATCTGTCCATTTTCTTCTTTCTTTTGCAGTAGAAGGTTTGATGTATCGGAGCACGGTCTGCCTCATTTGACTTCGCATAAAGCGCAATACACTACCGTAAATGCTTCATCTCGTTGTGCATTAATTTATCTTGTTTCGATATATTTGCCATTGCGTATTTCCTTCTTGCACAGTTTTTTGAATAATGTTAAAGCTGCTAATAAATCTATTGCAATAGCTGTATTGTAAAATGCAAATGTATGCGTGATCATGTTCTCATCCTAAAAATATATTTACTCAATAATTATACCGTGATATATTTCGTATCGCTGACGTATTTGATACTGTTTCACATTCTCATGAACAGAGATGATACATTTGTCATGTCACTGCAGTAGCATTAAATGAATGTCGTGCCGAAACGAGCTCCAATTTGCTAATTTGTCAGTAGATCCGTTATCAGCTCATTTAGACTCGGCATCCATGATGCGCAGTTCATTTAGAAGCAAATAGCGTAGAATATATACACCCTATCGATCTGATCCATCTATTTCTTTAATTGCTGTCAGATACGAACCGACACCTTACACCGCACTTCCTGCCTCTTTCTATCATAAAATCCTAACCTTTATTCAGGCTTTGATAACCTTTCGACAATATAGCAAAAGAGTTCCTATCCTAACAGCAAAGTCCTTGTAACCGTCCGCGACATGTTAGGCGCAGAGCACCCGGTCGTCCGCAGGCCCCGTAGCTGTCGCCCGCGTACATGACCCGTCTTTCACTTATACCATGCGCAGTCTCGACGTCTCCTATTTCTTGACCGCAGAGACACAACGTTTATACTTTAGTTTCAAGGGGTACCGAGTGAAGTGTTACATGGCAACGTGGCGAACGTAAGCTCTTCCAGTGGACCTCACGCGCCCACTTCCGTAGTTCATTCGTCGGACGACGACGTGAAACTGTAGGAACGGCGATCTGGCACTGCATGCGCCAGCAACTGCTCCCGTGCAACTTGCAACGCACTGGTCTCGAGCGCTGCCTTTATGCAACCCGAGCAGAACGTGACCTTGCGCTTGTCGAGCTTGAAATCCGGTTGCAGGAACGTCAGGCGCTTGCGCACGCGGCACGAGCGACAGACTGCATGGAAGCACAGTTTGCACGACCCGCGCGTGGAGCTCAGTTGGCCCATGCGACTGTGGCCAACGGGCTGTGCACAGCTCACGCACTTGTCGTCGTCGCGTCGCACGCCCCTGCGCCCCTTCTGTTCGTTTCGGAGCCGCATGATCCACGCGAGCTTCTTCATCTCGCCGCAGTGGGCGAGTTGCGTGCACGATAAGAGCAGTGAGCTCAGTGGCTGCAGCATGAGCGACGTCAGGACCGAGCCGCCTGGGTCGTTGATGCTCGTGGCATAGGTTTCCACCGACAGGTCGTGGTCCTGGCGATAGAAAGCACAGACGTGACAGCGCCCCCGCACGCGGTTTGGCAACCGGGGCACTTCGGCCACGTCGATCGAGTGCAACACGTTGTAGCCAATGCGTTGGCCGTCCTCGAGGACGAAAAGGCCCGTGGCCTCCATGTAGACGAAATCCCGATTCTTCACCCACGTCGTCGAGTGCAGCGGCAGTTGAATCTGTGTCCACTTGAGGACGAGCGACTGCAACGGCTCGTCCGCCGTGGGCTCGACGATCGAAGACAGCACGGCCGCGTTGCTCACGCCGTCCACGTACGTCGAGTTCACGCGGATGAGCTCGAGCGTGGGACTCATCACGCCAAACATGACGTCCTCGAGCTTGCCAGGGATCGCCCCCTCGCACAACAGCACGGGCAACTGGGGCTCGCTAATGTCGGCATCGAGCACGGAGTTGGGGGTCGAGTGCCGAGTGGGTCGCTCGGCGTACACGCGGACGGCGTCTCGAGTCTTGAGGAGTTTCCACCGACTCGAGTTCACTCGCCGACTTTGGTCGGCAGTGTATTCCGTAAAGTGTGGCAGGTGTTCGTTCACGAACGACAGGACAAGAGCCTGCAGGTCGGCTTTCGCAGCGACCGACAGCTCCAAACTCGGGAACAGCTTGTGCTCGACCCGGTCGGTCGTCATTGTCGTCCAAGGGCTCTACCCCGCAAAAGCGACAATGAACGCACACGATGAAGCTGTGCGAACGCATTGCCCCGTCGGCGGTCCGCTTTGCTTGCGGTCGGCGTAATCGCTGTCACGCCAGACTGTCGTCGACCACGTGCTCGAAAGTATCTACAGATCGGACAGGTCGGCCTCAAGGAAATCGCTCGCGCAACGCTGTCGCCTGTCACTACCGTCCGCTCTTTTCAGTTGAAGCAAAGGCCCTTTGTCGATGGTATAGTTGTTGCACAAAGGGACAACGGGCAAATGCCAGCGAGGCTCCGTCGACGGGCCGTTCGCGTGTCGACCCTGTCACGTGAGGCACAGGTACGTTCGCGGCCTCGGACGACGTGCGGGAAGATCGTTTCTTGACTGCATTGTTTCGCGGTACGACGGTGTGTCGAAAGGGTCGGTCGTGCGCCTCGTGTGGATTGTACAGCCTGACTGGCTATGTGGCCTCGCACGCTCCTTCTTTGACGCCTTGCGCCAGGAACGGATACAGCAAGGGACGAGCGAGAGCGAGCGAGCGAGAGACCTGTGCGTTCAAGCGAGACGCACCTGGGCAGCGAGTAGACGACCAGAGGTCGACGCTTTGTAAGGACTACGTGGTCGAAGCAACGTTTTATCCGGTGCTGCACGAAGAGATTGCGAGCTCGCACGTCTGGCGTTTGCAAGGCGCAGGTAAACTATGCTTCTGGTCTCGGTGCTGAGGTATGACCGTACGTAGACATTCGTCGGAGCACAAGCAAAGCGAGATACTGCATACTCCGAAGCTTTGCTGAGGATGCGGCGGGTCAAGTTGTCGTGCAGGTAAGATGCGCTGCTCCATCCCGTGTTTGATCCTCCAAGAAGATGTACACATGTGGTGCTACAGCTTTGCATGCAATAGCCGTTGCGCGATATGCAAAACGATGCCAGACGAACATGTACACATGGACTCGACAAGTGTCGAGGATCGATGATGACATTTTGTCAACCAGTTGAACGTGGCGTGTCGGACGACGCAACTGGACATGAGGCTGCGCGAAGCAAAGTGCTCGTGGTCGGCTTTCTGCGAACTGATTCCGTTTGTCCAGAGACGATGCGCTGGCTCGACAATGGAGCTGCTCTGTGTAGGAAACAAGGAACAGGAGAAGTCTACTGGACCGCACGTGACGTTTTGTTGATGGTGCGCTGGCCATCCCTCGACTTGCGTGCGAAGAGAAGTAGGCCGATGTTTGGACGAGGATCCAGACGAAGCTGACCTAGAAGGGAACGCCTCGACTCGTGTACAGGACAGGGCATCGCACAACGCGACAAGGAGTGAGTAGCCTGATCTACGAAGTGCCACAATTCTTGTCGGCACTACTGACTGACTGACACAGTCTGACTGCGCCGTTATGCCATACGGTTGAGTTGGTATGTGCATCGATCGCTCACATGTTGGCAGAAACGCGCGCACACACACACACATGAGGTTTCGATCGATCGCAGTACATCCACTTAACGTTACCTAAAACCCTGTGTGAGCGGTCACTAGCCGCGTATCGATTCTTCCAGAAGCGTTCATGGCCGTAGCATCTTTCGATCCGCTTGATACCGCTGCAATCGATTAGCCATCGGGCAAAGATCGTCACGGCCGAGTCGACGGGATCCTCGACAATGAGAAGACCAGCTATTTACCGCATCGAACAAAGCTGCATGACGGTATCTCGAGCGTCTATCGCTTCATCGTGAGACTCGTTGCGGTCTGCTCCTATTCTCTGTGTAGACTGGACAGGGCCAGCCAGACAAACCCGACCATACCAAAGTCGTTGATCGCGACGGGCTTTGATGTTATCGGCCACATGGTCAGTCCATCGACGCGTCGCCCAGTGCTTTGTCGTTTCTTTATCCAGAGCTCATGTTCGGTCGCAGGTATTTGACACGCTTACATCAGAGATGAGCCCGTGATCGCTGAGCAGCTGGTTACGATCGAAAAAGATCAACTGCACCTCCACACCGACTGGAAGAAAAGGTTGTACTCGGTCGAAGCAACTGCTTTGTGTTGATTAGCAGTGGCGACACAGTCAGTCTTGTCAATTCAGCAATGTGTTAGTATGTGTATCACCACCACACATGGCGTGGTAGCGTGCTTACAACGCAACACTGAAAGCGAGTGAGCAATTGGCACAGTCGGTGCCATGCTGTTGTTACGTACTGCCTTTTCCGTGAGCTACAGAGTCGCAGGAGCGCTGTGATGGCAACACCTGCAAATCTTGTAGCAATTGTTGCAGACCTGACGGCAAGCGACTTGCCGAGTCACAAAGCAGTCTCTGACGTGCTGCACAACGGTCCCAGCAACGCTTTTGCGGTGAAATTTGTACCTCGCGAGTCTGCCACTTGTTGTGCAGCGTACTCACACGTACAGCGTAATCTCATCGACGCAAGCAGAACCAGATTGCAGTCTTTTGTTACAGACGACTACGTCTGTCCGATATGGCAGCGGCTCCATCTCTTGGACACCGCTCGACCTGTCCGGCGATCCTGCTCAGTCGTACAGCTTCGGCAAATTCAGCGATAGGATACGCTGTCCACATGTTCGATTCGCGGTCGTAGACCGACTTGAGTGAGCTTTCGTAAAAGGCCAAGTGGCCGCCTGACTTGGTCGTGCACAAGATCACATATGGATTGGCTTCCACTGCGTCGACTGTCGGCAGAGCTCGGCTCACGCTGATCGGGTCGTCCTCTGCGTTGATACAGAGCAGCGGCACACGCACGCCGCCCAGCTTTTTCACCGATCCGGCATCGCTGTAATAGTCGTCCACTGTGTCGTAGTGGAACACGTGTTTCGTCAGCGTGTCGTCAAAGTCACGTACGGTGCGTGTGGCCTTCAGTACCTCCAAGTCCACGTCTGGGTGATTCCTAAACTGCTCAGCTGCATTGCACTACATCAAGAGGTGTCACGTCACATGAACCCCCACCATCAACACCACCATTCTACTCTATCTCCCACGCAGCTCACCTTGTCGAAAAACAGCTCACGAAGATTGTTGTTGAGCGCTTTGTCATACGTCATCCGGTGCAACAGCGAGTCACCAAAGTTCGCCGAGCAGATGGTCAAGTCAAACGGGTTTCCAATCGAAATGGCACCGGTCAACGGCGTTCGGCTGCCATCTTCGCCCAAGTATTTGACCAGCACATTGGACCCCATCGAAAAGCCAGCGCCAATGAACGCTTCACGTGCGAAATCAAACTGCTCGCGCAATTGGTGCAGAACAAAGCGGAGATCGTCAGTGTACGCGCTGCAAAAGAGTTGAGCGGTCCCAGTGGCGTCTCTGCACATCCTCGAGCGTTCAGTACCACACATGCCAGCCCAATGTGTCAGTCGCGCAACCGTAATGCGGATGTAATTCTCGGCACTGCCGCCCGTGAGACCAGGCAAGAGAATCACCGTACGTCGTGTTGGCTGCACCTCGGGCAGCCAAGTAGTGGTGGACGCTCTTCCGTCAGTGTCGTCGAGGGATCGTTCCTGTCCGGTAAAAGAGCCCAATCCAAAGACACGACGCCGTCGTCCGGTAACTTTAGTAGCTGACGTCTGTAGCGGATCTTCGGACCTCTGTCGTCGTAGGCAAACCGAACGGTCTGTAGATGTCCGTTGAACAAAAGCCGCGGCGGGTAGTACTTGTGTTTCGCTGCAATGCCGACAACAACAACATCAACATCACCGGTTCAACAAGTCAGACATAAAGTCAGTCCGTTACACACACACATATATATATAACATAGTGGGATGTGCTGTCACGACTGCCAAGCGAGCAACGCCCTATTTCGTTGCGTACTTAGTGCGGGACACAAAGCCAGCAGTGTCGTGTTTGTTGGCGTGGCTCGGTACACAAGTTTCGGCGTTTCCCCCGAGCGCAGAAAGTACCGCCGGATAAGTGCGGCCAGAAGCGAGCGACCGAACGTCTTTTGGGCGCAATAAAGTAGCGCTAACGCCAGCGCAAGTCGAGCGTAGCGCGGTCGCAATTGCGTCTGTACGCGTCGCATGACCGGATAACTTGGGTGGCTCTTGACGATTGGCAGAAGGTCAGGACGATGACGAGAGCTACAACAGGCCACGTGTTGGCATGTTGATCGGTTATGTGCTGCACACAAAGTTGGACATGTCAGCGAAGGCGTTTTACATGCGGTGGGCGGAAGGCTTGAAGCGGTGTGGAATCGCTATAAAGTACGCTGGTATCGCATGTTGTCAAACCCTAAGCAATCCGTTTGTTTGACATCCGTATGGAACTGGATCCGAGCAATTCGACGCGGACCACAGCCTCTTTTCTGGGCGATGCGGTCCGCGTGTCAAGAGTCAGTTGGCGACATCAAGATGAGAAAGGAGAGAGGGAGAGAGGGGGAAGAAGGCTCACCACGCACAGGCGGATCGGGGCTGGCTCAATTTATCTGCCCGCAACGAGGTCCTATTCATAGACCCGCAGACAGCAGCTACGTGCCACTCTCGATGATGATGATGATGCGTGCGTTTCGGCTGTTACGAAACTTGCGCTGCACGTAATCGGCGGCCAAATGTGTGCTGCTGAAATACAACTCGAGCTATAAATAGGAGTCGCCCGCCGTAATCCTGACAGCCGTATTCGTGTCGTGGCCGACATAACCTATCGCACCGTAATTTATAAATACACACACACACACAACAGTGCGACGTCAAGAGCGCCTGTCGTTTGATGTTGCGAAAAAGACAAGTACGGGCGGTCTCGTCCCCAAGGCGTGTCCACGACGTTTCGGTGGTATGTCCTGCAGCAGTGGCGGTCGTTCGTGCTCCTTGCGGGCAACCGTTACTCACCGTCGCCTGTATGAGCGAAACGAACGACCCGATCTCTCCTCGCATCGCGTGATCAGATGCATTCAGATAAACATGCAGCTAGAAACACTGTGGCCCACGCGTGACGCCACACAGGCGCCCGACCCGATCGAGTGGTACTGTATGCTACAGCGACCAGCACCTTCATGTCCGCTGTCCGAGTCACAACGACCCGTTGTTGCACACTACAAAATGCGCACTTTGCATTGCTTCGGTCTCAATTCGACACTCGTTGCGTGACGCCTGTGGGGCAAAAACCTGTTGCCAACGCGAGGAGAGAAAAAAAAAGGCAGTGCAGCAACAACGAGGCGGACTGACTCCCTTTGCAGCACTCTCATTGGCCACATACAACTGCCAGTGTCCCTCGGTCAGCGCGTGATTGGCCACACCACTTTCCCCTAGCCGCGCCACCCGACAAAAGGCCAGCCAGCCCCGTTGTCCGCTCGCTCGCGCTCTCTCTCTCTCTCTCTCTCTCGACGTCGTTTGGCCCGTCAGAATACCTGCGGCCCATTGAAAAGGCCCTACAAAACGCACTTCGACTCCCCCACCAGCGGCCACGAGCAAACAAACAAACAAACAAACAAACAAACAAACAAACAAACAAACAAACAACCAGACGGACAGACAGACAGACAGACAGATAGACAGACAAACAGACAGACAAACGGACGTCTCGAGCGCGAGTCACTTTTGCTTTTTCCCGTTCCACCCACTCACTCCCATACCCACACATACCCACGTACCCCACTCCCCCCCACGCACTCCCACTCGCGATACACACGTGTGCTGCCCCAATAATGGCCGCCGCCACCCATCACCACCCGCCCCACGCGTCGTCTCTTCCTGCCAGTCAACCTCCTGCGTCCAAATACGGCTACGCGCTCAACTTTGACTGGAAACACCCGTGGCCGCGGGCGCCCACGCCGTCGAACGAAGACGCGCGACTCGCGGAGCTCGCGCGCTACCGCATCCTCGAGTCAGAGCCCGACGAGAAGTTTGACAAACTCTGCCGCATCGCGTGCAAAGAGATGAAGTGCCCCATCGCGGCCGTGAGCTTCATCGACAAGCAAAAGCAGTGGTTCAAAGCCAACAGCGGCCTCACGCAGCGCCAGATCCCGCGCGACGTTGCGCTCTGCGCGCACACGATCATGCACGCCAAGCGCGCGCTCGTGGTCGAAGACACGTCGCTCGACGAGCGCTTCCAGCACAACCCGCTCGTCACGCGCGCGTCGGCCGTGCGCTTCTACGCCGGTGTGCCCATCACGACGCCCAGTGGCTACTGCATTGGTTCGGTCTTTGTCTTTGACGTCAAGAGCCACCACCACGTGGACGCCAAGATCCTGCACAAGATCGCGGCCAAAGTGCTCAAGTACATGGACGAGCGCCTCAAACAGCTCGCGGCGTCCGCTGCTGCTGCTACTGGCGGCGGCGCCAGTCAACCGCTGCCGGCAGACGGGACGGCGCAGGGGAGCGGGCCGAGCGCGGTGTTTGCCCCGTCGTTGTCGACGTCGTCCCTGTCTCTGTCCCGGTCAGACGGGCCGGCGCCAACGCGGAAACAACTTGTCGCACCAGCGCAATTGCAGTCGCAGTCGCTGCCCTACCCCCGCACGAGGGAGCAACAGCCGGCGGGAGAGACGGCGATGCGCGAGCACGGGCCGCTATCGCCGGCGAAACCCGAACCCGCGGCCGAACCCGTGCCCGAGGTCGAGCGTGGGGCGATCGTTCAGGCGGCGCCGGCCGCCGCTGCGTCGAGCACAGCTCTGGAAGCGCAGGCGCAGAACGGACTGGGGAACATGGGCTCGATGCTCATGAATCTGCTGGCGCGCACGACGGAGACGCAGCAGCAGCTCGCGGCGCAGCAGGGCGTGATGTTTGAGACGCTGGGCGAGCACTCGAGCCAGTTGGACCAGCTGGGGCAGTCGATGACCAACTTGGAGAAGCGGTTCGAGCAAGTGCGGCTGAAGAAGGAGCAGCAGCAGCGGACCGGCGCGGCGGGCTCGCGGCGGTCGAAGCGCGTGTAGAGGAGTGTGGAGAGAGAGAGAGAGAGAGAGACGGCGAGGGGGGGGGGGGGAGGATCGGGGGGGATGGCGTGTGGTGGTGGGTTTGTGGTGTGCGTGTGTCGGTGTGTGGTTTATTTTTAACGAGAGCAAAGGAGGAGAGAGAGAGAGAGAGAGGAAGGAGAGGAGGAAGACGCTGCGTGGGGTGGAAGAACGTGTGGTGGATGGGTTAATGGCGCAGGGCAGAGTGAGTGAGAGAGAGAGCGGGTTGGCGCAGCATGCAGCTGGCTGGCTGGCTGTAGCTAGTCACCGCCAATGGTTTGCAGGACGACATGTGACGTGTGGTGTGTGCTGACTGGAAAGAGCTGGTCGGGATGCAAGCGCTATTTGGGCTGAAGTTGAAGTGTGGGGACACGACGGGGCAAGTTGGCGCGATGCTGGAGGTACAAGTTGTTGGAGGTGTGCTTTGCTGAGATGGAAGCAGCTTCTGGATCGCAATGATGGTTTACAGCGTCGAACATGCGACGATGGTCGTTTGGTAGACTTGTGGTCCCTCGATGAACGAAGCTACGAACGAAGACTGTGTCAAGTCACTTGTCGCCTGAGAAGCCTGACCGAGCATATGCAACGAAGACGAGGCATGTGCAGGTCTGCATACTGGAGCGAGCCTATGTCATTGAGTGTGGCCGACCTGGAGAAGCTGCTGCGTTTAGCCGCTCATGTTCAGGCGTGCGTCCGAGTATAGAAGTGCAGGACGCGAGACTGCGACTTGTATAGAATAAGTAACAAACGTAAGTTTTACAATACTGGCACCTGATAGTGTGACACTGCGGTGTGTCGGAACCCCTTCACATAGCTTTCGAGTGATGTGTCTGTTGCGAAACAAATAGTAGTGCAGCGTTGTACATGTTGCAGTAAATGGCGAAATTACAATTAGTTTGCAGCACAATCCGTTGCAACTTGGCCAATGTCACTCAGTTCCACTTTTTTTCACTGCGTGTAGAGTGTGCAATCATCGTTGGCGTTTCGAATCGAGGTCTCAGCTATGCAAAGAAGACCCGCGTGACAAGACTGGCCGAATGAGAGATGATCGGACCTTCGTGAACAACTGATGTAGTGATGGTGGTCGCCCGAAGAATCGACCAGCAGTGATGCTGTTGCCAAAGATCGATTGGCTTGGAATGTGCTGAACAAAGTGCGTAATGTAGATACAACATCAACGCGTCCTCTACATTTTTGCTGCTATGCGTCAGCTTACAGATACGTTCACAAACCCTTCATTCCTCAAAAGTGCATTGAAATGGAAGCAAACGATAGGCCAAAGGGATAAAATAAGCCAAGACAAATGTTGCCAAGTTGCATGTGTACAACCGACAACCAACAGGTCGAAATAGCATTCATCGAAGTGGTCGAAAAAGGCAAAACGGTGAGGGCGTGTTGATAGCTTGGATTTACAATTGCATACGCATGTCACCGACTCATCAAGAGTCGGTGGCACTCCACGTCAACGCTCCCACTCGAAGTGAAGGGCGATGTGAGATTGAAGTGAGCTCTACGTGATCGGGGCAACTCGATGGGTTTCTTCGTTCCCAACATCTTCGTTTGCATGCCTGTAAGTGGATTCGAATCCGACACGAACTGCACTATAATGCCGCCCGCGCAACATTCTTCCAAGCACAATGATGGCGAATAGCAGTGAGCTTCATTCGACGGCCGTCGCCCGTAGTGCACAGCTGTAGAGAAGCACACTGGTCAAACTCCCATACTTGAGTGTCTCTCACTACTTTACAACATAAGCACTTGGTTGTAGCACGTAACTGAGGCAGTTTTTCCGCATATGAACACGATAGAGCCATGTACTCCACTTCTGCAGAACTTGGCACCACAAAATGCTGGTCGTTTTTGTCGACATTGCTGGCGCTCCATTGATTATGACGGCTGAGACGTGTCGACTGTCGTCGACATTTGACACACGTACGCATGTTGGAAAGATGAGAAAAGTGATGGGAGGAAATGCACCTCGAGGAGCTTCAAAAGGCGCGGACGAAACTGGCTATCCGATCTTGGCATTTGTGGAGAGGCGTAGTTGCACGGTTGTTACAAAAATCAAAGTAGAGCCAGAGAAAAAGTCAGCTTGGTAGGCGTGGGTAGGGAGGCGTAGAACAGAGAAGAAAGCAGGTGAACCTAAGCCTGAGACACAGTACACTTTGATCGCCTGCTTTTGGCCACCAATAGCCGAATGTTTGTAATCTCACATGGTGGCACCTCCGCGAACACCAAGTTTCTAGAGTTCTTTGCTTGTGAATGCTGCAGTAGCATCAAGCCGCTCCATTTCGTATGCTTCCGAAACAACAATCGATATTCAGGGCTGGAATTGTGTTCATTTTTACGTTTGTGAGTACGGCTCGAAGAAGATCGGATGACAACTTTTGGCTTGACCCACTTAGTGACAACTGGTGCCTTGTATCTGACAAACTTGTTCTGCTCGTTGCGTTTCATGGCAAATACCGACCGGCGCTTTAGTGGTCAAACATCCTGCGTTATCCTTATCTGGGTCCACGATTTGTTCTCCTCATATGTGCTTGTCGTGTAGTACATCATAGATAGCCTTTTTGCATTCTAGCGCATCCTCGCTTTCCATGGCTCGAGGAACGACTGGCTTTCGTGTATTACTACTTTACAACTTGCAACACGGCAAGCGTTCCAAGCTCGATCAGTCGCTCACAGCCGTGGCCTTAGTCTATGGTAGCGGAAATGACATGGTAGCGCTGTTGGTGCGCGTATAAATTGCATCGTCAACTGACTGATAGCTCGTAGAATCTAGGGAAGCATCTACATCAGCTATCTCATCAAAGTGTCGATGCCTGAGCATGGTCTACAGCCGAACTCGCGAAGCCGGGCAGTGCTGACCGCTGGTCGGTACAGCTTATTTGAGCATGTTAGTAGTTCCGATCATCCTTGATCGGCCGGGAACTCGAAAACTGTCTCGTCCCCCACTTTTTATCAGCACACGATCGTGTATTGCAAAAAGTGCTTATCACAGTCCCAGTACGATGTGGCAGTCTACCGCCCACTTCGTGATACAGATGATGCTTCTACTTGTTCTCGTGCAAATGAATAAAAATCTCGATAGAAGGAGTGGCGCTCCCATCCCGCAAAATAAATGCAGGTGCGATTGTTTTGCCAGAAGAAAAGATCGTCCACATGACCTCGTCTTCGGCTATGTAGCAGTGTCACCATCGAGACTTTCTTCGGTTCAGTATGCACTACAAGCGTGGTGAAGGCACGACTAAAGATCCAAATTTGTAGCTGCAACCGACGTAGTTCGTTATTGCGACTTTTTTTGGCAGCGAAAAATGATGCAAACGCACTTGATGCATCGGATGCACGCGGAGACTGCCGCAATGCCTTCGGTTGTTGCATCGATTCGGTGGCGATCGGATGACTATGCATCAATGACAGGGACGAAATGGAGGTCTGGTGCGCTTTAGGCCTCGTAAATGCCAATTGACTTTGATTCGTCAATCTGTTTGCTTTAGCAGGTAAATTGCTGCGATCATTGTGGTGATGCCGGGCCGTATGTTGCGAAAAGCGCCTAAGTCATCCATGTGAGTGTTAGCATATGTTCCATGTCAAACGTCGTGCTTCAATCATGAATGGGCGACGTAAATGTGCATTTGCGCATTTTTATGGCATGCGTTTGTACGTACGTGTTACAAACGATCGTTTGTTCCGATAAAGCTGTGCTCATTGTCACGGTAGGGAACCCATACGCTCAACACAGCACAACTCTGCGATGCAGATGACACAGGTATCTCAAATCGATGCCTTCAGCGAACGTGGCACGAACGTCATCATGACTTGTCATGCGAAATCCAACCGAGATGCAGGCAAAGTCGTATGGCAAAGAGTACGAGACAAGTCATGCTATTGACGTCTACGCTTGGTGGCAGGCTTGTACGTGTCGAGAGGCAAGGAGACCACTGCGCATCTGACCAAAGCGTCTCGCTTGAACACTTTCGAGCCCCGAACGAGATCGTCCCACTTCATCAACGCATGTGTCATTCGGTCGCGCAGATCCTGAATTTGAGAAAGCAGTGTTGACTCGCTGGACGCAGACCGTTCTGTCTTCGTAGTGTAATCTTTCCAATCATCCAACAACGGTATGAAGCGCTTCCGCAATCGAAGAGCACCGTCAGCCAAGTTTCGAAACAGCGCGTCATTGTCAGAAGACTCCTCACACGCCCGCTTGGATACTTCCACAGTTAGGCGGTACGACGAGCTACCGAGGCCGTAAGCCTGCACGATATCGTTGATATCGAGTGTGCCGCTGTCATCGTAGTCTCCGTCCGAATCACAGTCCACATCAACATCGCAAGCGCGCTTGTCCTCAGCCAGATCGTCGTACTGCATCTCTTCTTCCCCTGTATCAGCTCGTGGTGTTGCTGGGACAGCCACATCTTCCCACTCAACGTTCTCCGAATCATCCTCGTCGCATGGTGTCCTGCTCTCGATAACGCTTTGCAAGCCATTCGTCGACTCACGACTCGCTTCCTCTTGGTTTGCTGCAGCTACATCAACATCAGATGCCAGTGACGACTGTCGTTTCTCTTCATTATCTGATAGGTAAAACGCGTCCAGCGTCGGCACCAAAATCTCAAACACCCGATTCATCTCCACAAGCACTTGCTCCATCTCTGGCACATACCGCTTCATCTCTCGATCGCGCTGCTGCTTTTTCACAGCACTAACTCGCGCTCGATGATGTCTAGTGTTGGCAATGTGCGCAATCTCCTGCTTTTTCTTTTCACGTGCGTGTGGGAACTCGTACCCTCTTTCCATCAGCACTGCATGGCCAGCAACAAGCGCCGGGTACTTGTCTCCGAAATCTTCTTTCCAATTTTCAATAAGCGTCAGTACCGCCGTCACGTGTGTCGAGTTCCGACTTTGACTACGCAAAGCTTTGGATACATTGGCACTTGGATTGGCTCCGGCAGCAACGAGCATTTGATCAAAAAATAAAGCCGTCTGCGTCGAAATGAGCGCTCGGAACACTGCTGAGCGGTGGAATAGTTCCCTGCACAGCTCGATAGCCTGTACAGTCATAACACAGCACAGCACAGCACAGCCCACAACACAGTAACAGTAGTGATTATCACACCAAAAGATGAGGATCGAAGCCAAACATTGGCACCACACACAAAACTACTTCTTCCACCACTTCACTCGATTGGCCATTGGCCATGTCAATGTTTTTCTGGAAGTTGTGTGACACCACCAAGTCGACAGTCGAAACAAACCTTTGTAAAAACAATAGGCGATTGCGTTGCCCGCTTCAGTTGATGCAAAAGCACCGCATGGAGTCGCTGAATGTACTGAGATTGTACAGCAGCGGACGCGTCGCGCAACAGTCGCTTCAGTTGCTCCAAAGCAGTGCCGGAACCATCGGCCACGTCGTTCGACGCGACGTGGGACGACGACCCACTGCGTTGGTATCGCTGTTTGCCCCGTTTTTGCTGCTTTAAACCAGCGCTGGCCACACGAAAGTAGCTCGTCACGACGTCATGGAAGCGAGCGGCTTCGTTCACGGCGTTTAATTCGTCAATGTTTGCCGACATTAAAGCGCCTTTTTTGTGTTGGGGTATATGCTGTGGCGGAGTAGTGTGTGACGGAAGCGACGCAGGGCGTCCCTTGAGGGATTACATTGATGTGTAAAACAGTCGGCATCAGCAAGACGTTGTCGGGTTGACAACTCATTTCAGATACCCTCATCTAGACTTAGGAACCAGTCGGCCACTCGACAAGTCAATACTCGAGTAAATAAATGCCTGTGCGCTCACACGTGACACCAGCTGTCATCGCTCGTAGCCCAGATAGGCCGTTTGTTTGAGTCTTCTCATAGCTTGCAACTGCACTCTGGCTGTTACTGTCACCGTCAGTATCTCTCTACACTCTTTGCTGCGTTGGTGCCGCAGTCTGCCACGACAAAGCTGAGTGATGGCGGTAGTCAATCAACGAGTCAACGAGTACATTCCGTTGCAGCTGTGGCAGCTAGCAGACGAGGAATGAGCTAGGAGTGGCTGATCGACAGCTGCTTGTTGTGAGTGCTAAGCTATGGGTGACGAGAAGAGGATGTATCGTTGCTGACTGTGCAGCCATCCAGCTGAAGGCATACACGTTTACAAATGCTAATAATCGTATCGATGATCTTGTTCAACAACCTATTGTACACGAAAACCTACGACTTGCATTGTTCTTCGAATCGTGCCAAGAACGATTCTCAATGGCTGGTCGTAGGTCTATTTTACACAGTTACAGCATTGCAGCTACATGTACAACGATCGTTTTGACATCCACCTCTTCCCGTTTACCTGATGTCTGAACATCAACATTCACGTTTGGATAAAGGGTACGAGCCCTATGCTCTGACTGGACGTAGCTTTCTCAGCATCGATGATGCACAAACTTGCGTTCTCTATCAGCGATGATGCGAAAACTTGCGTTCTCTATCAGCTATGATACTCCAGTCGCATCATTTGACGCGTGTGGCTACAACCATCGAATCATTTGTATCGCTTTCGTTGTTTTAAACAACGAATCAGAAAAGCTCCTAGAAACAGATCGATCAACGCAAGTCCAGCAACGCGATCGGGAGGGAGGGGGGTGAACGTTGCGTCACTGAAACGAGGGGGACCCGATCAGTGACGCTACGTGCATCCAGTCACGGCATACAAACCCCTACTTTACGGTCCATAGCGCGTCCCAATGAGCGTACGTCCGCGTCGTCGCTTTTTCTCCGTCTTCGACTTGCTGCAGCTTTTTCTACTTTGCAGAAAGGAACTCACTGTGTATCGTTCGTTACGTGTATACTATCACAGGACAAAGCAGCACAACCGCAGCTATCAATGGAGCAGATGAAGCAGCAGCAGATGAAGCAGCAGTGCGTGAAAGAAACATCCATTTACACCTAAAGCCATATATTCACATGTGTATAAAACAGCGATGCGTATGCATGCGTATACATACGTATACACATCTGCATACATCTGCATACATGTATATCAAAGTCTATACACACATGTATAGCTGCATCAATGCGCGTCCCACGATGTATACGCTGTTCGTCGTACCTCATGTTTATGTGTGACGGAATTGTTGTGATACTTGTGGTGCGTTACAGGGAGCAAGAGCAAGTGCGCCAGTCGATGATACAGCAGGTGATGCTGCCTGATGCCCGGGAACGTCGTACGTAGCGTTTTCGTGCTTCTTTTCGGCCTTTTGGGATCATTCTGCAGAGTGATTGAAGCCGAAGAGATCTAACGTGTCCATTGAGGCTATTGCAGTCGCTCGGATAGCGATCGTCAAGCCAGAGAAAGCACGTGCGATTGAAGCGATGGTGATTGAGATGGCGCAGCGTGGCCAACTGGCTGCGAAGATTGACGAAGATAAGCTCATTGATCTGCTGAACCAAGTGGGGTCAACAGAGGAAAAGAAGCGCACAAAAGTCACGGTACGTTAGCGCCGAATGGAGTGTCAGTGACTGTGGGGTCTGATGCCATTCTCCTGTCGGATGTTTGATGTGCAGATGAAGCGACGGACGTACTTCAGTGATGAAGACGACAACGACGACGACGATGATGACTTTTGAGTGGCAGCTAGTGCTAGCGGACCGATGTGGCGGGAGGCAACGTCAGACGATCGATAACGTGCACGAGGTGTGGATAAAGTCGCACGCGCTGCTCGATGCATTCTTCTCTACTTGTGCCGGCCAGCGTTTGTACGTTTGTGGTGTATGCCGCCTTGCGTTTTTCTTGCACGCTGCAGCCCTGTACTTTGTTATGGACAATCTTGTCTGCTGACCTATGGCTTCTCAGTTGGCCATTCAGTACACGATCATAGTCAATGAGCACTCGATCAGAGTCATGGAGTCTACTGGTGCCTACAGCACGTGGGTTGCTGGTGCAACTATTCTTCACTCACTGGTACCGTTGACGGTGTGACGATCGTCAAGCTGCAATAGCTACGAAGTCATCGAATGAGTCGGACGTGTCTCATTTGACACTCAGCCGCGGACTTAGACCCGACTTGACAAGATACGCACTCGATGCCGTAGCCTTCTGGTTGCACACTGTGAGAAAGAAGCTCGACCGTTCATGTTGCCACGTTAAACTGTGGTGGGTTGCCGATGCTAACTAAACCTGATGCGCCACTGCGATCATCTTGAAAATGCACATGCAATCCACTTAGGAACGTCCATGCGTTCCGATGAAAAAGTAGATTGATCACAGTTCCGATGTGGGATCCCAAAGCAGAAGATGAAGTTACAACCAAAACAGTTGTGCGTCCACAAGCCATAGTTTGCTTTGTATGTAAGTAAAAACAAATGTTTCATAACTGCTGTGGCACTACTGCTCCAGTACTCACATTCGCGAACTTTTAGTCACGTTTGACATGACGTTCGCAATGCCTCTCTAGATTAGCTCTTACGATGCCCTTTGCGTGTCCTGTCGGGTTCGCTGGCCCATCTTTGTAGGTTGTAGTCCATTCCACGACTCGTTCGAGATCGCCCACTCGTGTACAACTTATGCGGGTTTTTGTTCTCCTTACGCGACACGAGTGAGCTATTGCTACGACACCTGCGAAATGTACGCTGGAACTGGATTCGAAGAGCCGTGTACGTCCTTTTGACTATGATGATACCACACACGAAGCAAAGCAAAGCGCCATCGAACATGAGCTCACGAAAAACGACTGAAACAATAGGCAGTCAGCTGCAACTGACTCAAACAGATCGAAATTACGTGACATACGTAAGCGAAACCTGCATCAGTGCACTGCGACGATCTTGATTCGATTGAGGTCGTCATGTTCGTTCTCAAGTACTAGACATCGGGCACTGGATGCAAATCCTACTTTATCGCTTTTGCACCAGCATCAATGTATCGGCAGCGATCACCTGCTCTTCTCTTACCCACTCGGGACTACGCTGTCAGCCAGCAAGTCAATGGCTAACATCACATTCTTGCAATCCCATCTGACGACTCAAGCACTTTTTGATCCGGTGCCTAATGCTGTATATCGCCAATCGAGCACAGACATACTGCATGTCATCATTGCCAATACGCTACGACGGGGTCTGTTAGGGTTACACAGTGCAGTGCCATGGCATTGTCTGCGCACGAGGCAATGAAAGCACGGGACGCGTTGCCAGTTCGTAGTCACTTTACATGACATAGATCAGTCGCTGTCACTGTCGTCGTCTGACGACGAGAGGCTGAGTGAGATCGTATTTGGAGCCTCTTCGTCACTGTCGCTCGAGCCGCTTGAGCTTTCACTCTCGCCATCGTCCTCGTCGTCCTTGTCACCCTCTTCGAGCTTGCGTCTTTTGCGCAGCGTTTCGACGTCGTCGACCACCTCGTCGTCGTACAAAGCCGCTCGCTTTTCCGGCAGCTTGAACTTCTTGCGCAGAATCTCAGTGGCTTCTGGAGGAAGCGCGTCTCCATTTTTCCAGGACTCGGGCAGTGTAATGCCGTGTTCCGTGAAGAAACTCCGACCCATGTAGTGCAGCAACGCATCAAGCGGTAAGTCCACTGGGTCGCCTGGTTTCCAGCCCGGCGGCATCTGTTTGCGGATCTCTGCATCGCTTGCGCCCAATCCAATTGGAATGTCGAGCTTTTCAATATCGTCACTGTTATCGCCTTTCTGCTTTACGCGTGCGGTGGTTGACGTGTACTTCTCCGGACCCTGCGTGACAATCTCAGCAATGATGCCTCGACTCAGTACACCCGCACGCATCATGTGCTCCTGAGGTGCTGGCGGCATAAAGCCAAACATTGGAAACTTGTCTCAGCAACAGTAGCAACAAAGAACAACGTCATCAAAGAGTCAGCACGAGAACCACTGCAATGACCTCTGCATGCAAAAGAAAACAAAACACGACGTACACCAGGCTGCCACTCTTCCGGAGCCGATGTAGTGCCAGCAATGCGATGTGCATACGCAACGACGTCACGCGGATCCAGCATTTCTAGCCCACCAAGAGATCAAAGCAGCAGTGCAAGAAACTACGACGTTAGGAAAACAAGACCAAACCATTGCATCTTGACACATTCCACAGCATACGCACAGCACCTTTTGCCTTCAGTTTAGCATTCTCCAGCACCACGCGATGTTTCTTCAGCACGTTGGCAATAGCTTCTTGCGAGCGACGGAGCTGCAGTGCATAGTGCACAATTTTCTGCTTCTTGTCCTCAATCTCAGCATTGACCCGCAAAAGTTCGGTTTGTGCCACTTGATGCCGCGCCACTACAAACACCGCGCGTCAGTTTGTACATACACTTGTCCTCTTCGGTTCTATCCAATGGCAGTGGCATGGGAGCAATTTGTTGAATCAGTTCGCATCGTTTTAATGCCCACGTACGCTTTTTCACAGCTGCCAAAAGTCCGCGGTCTTTTTCCAAAACTTTGTGGAATATCTCGTTCACCGTGCGAAGGCGCGTGGCTGTAATAGTAGACGGGGGGCTACAAATCGAAACACGCAGGCACTAAAAAGTGAGTACGAGTCCAAAATAAAAGAAATTTTTTTAGTTTTCTTTTTTTCGGCGCTGTATACACGTCTACAAGAAAAGCGACAGCGCGAACGAGCAAGATGGAGAGAGAGACATCGAGAGAGATCGAGAGAGCGAGAGAGCGAGAGATCAAGCGGCTGGGGACCTACAGCGACGCAGTGTGCAGCGACTCAAGCAGCTTGGTCACGACAAAGCGGTGTTCGTGCAGCGCCACCTCGACGTCTTCGCGGATACTCCCGTCCATCGCAAGTGTCACTCGATCCGCTCCCTCTCGAATCGTATACCCGCAAAGAAAGCACTTGATACGAATGCCCAACCAACAACCCACTTAATCTTCGTCCACCTGCTCGTTAAAAAACCCGGTCAACCGCTTCAAACGGACATATCTACATAAAACCCAATCCAACACAACCAATTGACACAACCAGACAGTTAGCGAGCATCGCTCCACCCCCCTCCCCGCCCGCCCTCTCTCTCGTGTCGCCCACCCACGCCACCCCTCCCCATCCCTCGCTTCCGTCCACCTTCCGTCCACCTTCCGAGCACCTCTTCCCCCACCCACCCACCCACTCATGGCGCCCCCCGCGTCGGCGCCGGCCCACCTCGCGCGCCTCCTCGTGCTCGGCGTCGCCTTCCACGCCGTCTACGTGCGCAGCATCTTCGACCTCTACTTCACGTCGCCCGTCGTGCCGCACGTCCCCAGCGTCGCGTACACCGCTGCGCCACCGGCTGCGCGCGTCGTCGTGTTTGTCGCCGACGGGTGCCGCGCCGACCGGTTGTTCGAAGGGACGCCCCCGCGCGCCCCGTTTTTGCGCGCAATTGTTCAGCAGACGGGCAGCTACGGCGTGTCGCACACGCGCGTGCCCACCGAGAGTCGGCCCGGCCACGTGGCGCTCTTTGCCGGCATGTACGAAGACGTGAGCGCCGTGACAAGGGGCTGGACGGACAATCCCGTGGACTTTGACTCGGTGTTTAACCAGAGCCGCGCGGCGTTTCTCTTTGGCAGTCCCGACATTGTCCCTATGTTTGCCCGCCACGTGCCGCACGCGGTCGAAGCGCACTATGCGGCCGACGCTGAAGACTTTGCCGCAGGGGACGCGTCGGCGCTCGACACGTGGGTAGTTGCGCAGCTCGAGGCGCTCTTGACGCGCGCACAGAGCGGCGAAGACAATGCAGAGCTCGCACGGACGCTGCATGGACCCGGTGTAGTGGTGTTTTGCCACTTGTTGGGCATTGACTCGAACGGCCACAGCCATCGACCGCAGTCGAAGGCGTATTTGGATAATATTGTGCTCGTGGATACGCTCGTGGAACAGGTACAGGAGACGGTCGAAGCTTTTTATGCACGCGATGGACGCACGGCGTACGTGTTTACTGCAGACCACGGCATGGGGTCGAAAGGGGCACATGGCGATGGCGATCCCGCGAACACGCGGACGCCGTTGATTGTGTGGGGCGCAGGCGTGCAGGGACCACAGGAGGTTGCAACGCCGACGAGCAGGTTTGAGATGGATCTGCCGACCCAGTCGCGGGCACAAGTGCAAGCGCAGTTGCAGGCACAAGACGAGCAAGAGCAGGCAGCACGGGAGGAATGGGGAGACCTTGTTCGATTTGTGAGGAAAGACGTGATGCAGGCCGATGTGGCACCGCTGATAAGTGCACTGCTCGGCCTGCCGTACCCACGCAATTCGGTAGGAGTGCTGCCGTTTTCGTATTTGACCAAGGGAGCGTACCGGTCCAATGCCGTCAAGTCGAACGCGCAGCAGCTGTATTTGCATGCTTTGCGAAAAGAACAGGAGAAACAGTCGCGCACATTGTTGCGCTACGTACCGTACGGTCCGTTTCGTGACCGTGTTCCCGGGCTCTTGCAGCAGCTTGCAGATGCTTACGACGTCGGTGTTGCAAACGAAGACGACGATGAAGCTGCTGCGCAGGTGGAGATCTTGAGCCAGGAACTGATTGAGATATGTCTGGCTACTTTGGACTATTTCCAGCGGTATGACTGGTTCTTCTTGCTCAGCGTGATTGTTTCAGGATACGTGGGATGGATCATTGTACTAAGTATCGCCTACCTGCACCCGCGCGAGTTTACGCTGAAATGGCTGCTGGGTGTGACTGGCAAACAGCCGGACATGAAACTAGTTGTTCTCGTATTTGCAGCTTTCGTGTACCTGGCCCTTGAGGGGTCACCTGCGACATACTATCTGTACATATTGTTTCCTCTGATCTTCGGAGTGTTTGCATGGAATCACGTTGGTTTGGTACAAGAAGTGTGGACTTCCAACGCAAAAGATGGCGCAACATGGTCGAGCTGGAAGCGATTTGCAGAGATTGCGCTGATCATGCTGTGTCTCGAACTTGTTGTTGCGGGGTATGAACGCCGCGAGATTTTTGGTGTCCTCTTCGCACTACTCGCAGTATGGCCTTACGTCGGAGAAAAACAAGTAAGTGTAGATGAGGATCATTGTAACGACCAAAGCAGATGGATAAGCTGCTTCCCGTTGCCGAGCCGCTGTTGGTCAATCAGCTGTTTGTCCATATCGGTGTTCCCATTTTTACCCAGCGAGTATGGCGAGCACACTTTTTTGGTCCACATGGGAGGCTTGTTGTTGCTGCTATTCACTGCCATGGTGCTGGGCATGGCAGAGCCCGATCGACACAAGTCGTGGACGAACACTTCGTTTGCTGTTAGCGCTACTCCTGTCATACTCTCACTGGTGACTTTGCACGCCACTATGCAGTATCTGGACGGTGACCGAAGCAAGCCGCCATTCTTGCTGACGGTAGCAAATTGGCTTCTGTCTGGCGTTCCTATCGCGATGCTGCTGATTAGACTACGATGGAGAACAGAAGGTGCGACTCGAGCTATGGGTACTGAATCTGGTCGTCACAACCAGCAGTTGCTCCTCCAGGCTGACGTTGGCCGGTACCTAAGACGACTTGTCGAGGTGATGCTAGCGTTCGCGCCTTCGTTCATTCTGCTGAGCATCGCGTACGAAGTGCTGTTTTACGCGGTGTTGTGCTGTGTTCTCGTGAGCTGGTTGCTGTTAGAGGCTCAAGCGTCGCTACAATGTTCGTCTTCCATGTGGCGCGAGGTGCAGCGTGCGTTTGTGTTCCTGCTGCTGATCAAGATCGCCTTCTTTGGTACGGGCAACGTGGCGAGTATGAGCAGCTTCGAGATCTCGTCTACCTACCGATACGTGACGGTGTTTGCACCCTTCATTATGGGTGCGCTATTGGTAGGCAAGATCCTCATTCCGTTTGTGGTGGTGGCTTGCACCTTTCACATGATTTTGCTCCTTCCCGCACCGTCGCGGCCATCTGACGCGCAGAAGCCCCGCTTGCCTGCAACGCGTTACTTCCTGCTCGTTGTGGCCATGTCGGACGTGCTCGCCCTCCACTTTCTCTTTCTCGTCAAGAACGAAGGCAGCTGGAAGGAGATTGGGAACTCCATCTCAATGTTTGGCATCGTGAACGCCCAGATCGTGTTTGTCCCGCTGCTGTTCCTGTTGGCTGGTGTATTCGTCCGCAATCTGGCACCATTTTCTGACGCCGTCCATCATGACAAAGCGTATTGATGACTGTTGACTAGTCGAGCGGCACACCAGTGTGAGGCACTGCATATCGAATAGATTGACTCGGCCTACAGTCGCGCTGACACGCTGCTTGGAGTTGGCCAAGCTGAAAACGTGATGACTGAAGCTTGCTTGGAAAACTTTGTGTCTCAGTTGCATGACGATCGATCGAGTGGTGGCTCGCTCAACACACGTTGAAGTTGTCAGCGCAAAGGATTAGTGGATGCGTCGATGCCGCTCATGCAAAGCACTATGAGCGATTTGTTGACGCGTAGCATTTCGTTATCAAAAAGTATCTTTGTGAGCGGGTGAGTAGCGGTTTGTATTGACGTTGTTGAGTCAATGATGAATGGACTGCTTAGTTGTTCAGACAATGAGCTAACATCGTTTTGGGGACTAGCTGATTGAACGACTGAGCCAGCAGGGTGACAACTGTATGAAGAAATGATGTCGAACGTGAGACCGAAGCAGGTGTGGAAGTTAAGGTTGTGATGAATACATTCCTCCGTATTTGCAGCAAGCGCACGCACTCATGTAGCAAATCTCACCGAAGAGAAGGCCCGCATCCCGTCATATCTACTGAGTGTTGGGTGGGCGACCAAATCTATCTGGGAGATGTATTTTATGGTTACACAGAGGGACTCAAATAAGAGAAAGTCACGGGAGAGCCTGTACGCGATAGAGCGAGCCGTATTTTGGGGGGAATACGATATGGGAGGATAGGGGAAGGAATAGCGTGGATATTTCGGAATAAAGGCCGTGCGGCAGAAAACGATCGCAACACACAAAATGATCGCAACACACAAAATGATCGCAACACACAAAATGTAGTAGCCAGGGTGTTTAAAACACCGCACGTAAGCATTGTGATTGAACAGCATGCTCAAGGCACCCTGAACTTGCGCAGAGCCTTTCGAGTGCACTCCAAAAAACCTCAATCTATGTATTATCCCGACCCCAAAAGGTCCTTGTCACGCGCTTGTGATGCGTCCATGTAGCACGTTTTGGCCCAGTCATTACCACACATTGATTTGATACAACGCAGCCGCAGCCATCGTCTTCTGCTGATCCACTCCACTCTTTGGCTTCGTCCGCTTCGACGTTGTCGTGATTATATGCGCTGCCAACCACTTCAATCGATGGTCTTGTCAGCACAGTAGCCACAGCCGACATCGACTCACAGGCAGGTGCTTCGGGTCGTTTGGTCGTACCATACCATATACGCCAACCGCCGCTGTTTTCAACATCCGTGGACCACAGGTCGCACGCATGTGGCAACCTGTTTCACCTAACGCCATCTCCTCGTCCATCACGACATGCCGTGTGCAAACTCAACAGCAACAGTCATATTGAAGGCATGCACGGAACCAGTGTCAGCGTCGTCACGCTCGAGGCACGACGAACCCATCTCGTACTTCGGCCAGCACCTTCGGCCCAACGCCTCCACTCTGTCATTCATTCAGTCCCCATGACGCTGTAAGACATCTCCTGTCGATACTAAAAGCGATAACCCAATAAGACACTCCCGAGCATCTGAATGGCAGCAGCAGCAGCGCACACACACACACACACACACACACCACCCCATCAATGCCCACCACGTATTCCACGTCAGCCCCAATGTTCAACGTGACAACGAGCTGTCGCATCCCCACTGCAAGTGCTCCACCGCTTCCGACTGACTGACGGACTGACTGACTGTCCCACAAACAAACACCCGACACACGTCTTCCCGCCGCGCGTCGCTTTTTGTACCCATCGCGCCTTTCCACGCGCTCGCAGCCAGTCGTTGTATGCCCCCCCTCATTAGTCATACCCCGCGCGCGCTGCCCCATGGACCTCGAGCCGCTGCTGTCGCAGCTCTTGGCCGGCGACAACGCCGCGCGCAACGCGGCCGAAGCGCAGTTCCAAGCGCTGACGCAGCGCCGCTGCAGCGACGCGCTGCTGCTCGGCCTCGTGCAGGTCGTGCGCGCGCGGCGGCGGCGCGACGCTGTGCGCGCGCTGGCGGCGGTGCTGCTGCGCCGCGTGTTACTGCGCGACGCCGTCTCGTTGTGGCCGCGCGCGACGGCCGCTGCGCGCGAGTCGCTGAAAGCCGATCTCGTGGCGGTGCTCGAAGCCCACGAGACGCAGTGTGCGCTGCGCCGCCGCGTGTGCGACACCGTGGGCGAACTGGCCACGAGTCTGCTGGAAGACGGCCAGTGGGACGCGCTGCGCCGCAAAGTGCTGCAGTGGCGCGCGTCGCCGCTGCTGCCGCTGCGGGAAGTGGCGCTGCGGCTACTCGAGATGGTCGCACTGTTTGTCGCGACGCAACTCACCCGCAGCAGCAGCAGCAGCAGCAGTGAAGACAGTGACAAGAACAGTGACGACAGGGAGTGGAACCGGACAGTGCTCGAGGGTTTGCTGCTGGGACTGCAAGACCCGCACGGCCGCGTGGCGCTCAATGCGCTGCGGGCGCTGAGTATGGTGCTGCTGCACGTCGAGTCGCTCGAGGAACTGGCCATGCCACACGTGCTGACAGCAGCGGTGCCGCTCGTGCTGCAGGCGCTGCAGGCGCTGCTGGAGACGCAGCAGTGGGAGCAGATGATGGAGGCGCTCGAGATGCTGATTGAAGTCGCGGACGCCCACGCGCTGTTCTTTGCGCCGCGACTGCGGGACGTGGTCGAGACGATGGTGGGGATTGCGGATGCGGGCCGCAACGCACGTGCAGTGCCCGATGGGTGCCGTCAATTGGCGATGGAGCTGCTCGTGTCGCTGGCCGAGCAGACGCCCGCGCGGTGCCGACGGCTGCCGAAGAATCGGTTTGTCGAGACGGTGTACCCCGTTGCGTTCGAGATGCTGTTGGAGCTGCCGGACGTGGACACGTGGGACGCCGCGAACTGCGACGACGAGCAGGCAATTGGTGGCGGCTCGGGTCTCGATCAGGACATCTCGAACTTTGACGTGGGCGCGGAAGCGCTCGAGCGGTTAGTGGGCGCGCTGGGCGCTAAGCGCTCGCTGCCCACGTGCTTTCGGCTTGTTCACGCGTACGCTCGACGCACGGACCATTGGGCGAGTCGCCATGCAGCGCTCGTGGGGCTGTGCCAGATCCTCACTGTACTGGACGACGACAACTTGGACGCAGTCGTGAGCCACCTGCTCGCGCAAGTGCACGACCCCCACCCGCGTGTGTGCTGCACTGCTGTTGATGTCATTGGACGGCTGTCCGTCGACCAAGCGCCGCAGTTCCAAGCAGCGTACCATTCGCAAGCGCTTTCGGTGCTCGCCCACGTGCTGGAAGACGGGACCAAACCGCGTCTGCAGGCGCACGCAGCCACTGCATTGCGCCAGTTCATTGACATGTGTCCACCGGAGCTGCTCACGCCGTACCTGGACAAGATGCTGCATCAGCTCTTTGCGCTGCTCGAGCGTAGCCACACAGCAGCAACAGGTACGTCACCTGCTCAAGCGGTCGTTGCCACGCGCGTTGTCCACGAGCAGGCGATCACCGCCATCTCGTCCGTCGCGATGGTCGCTGGTCCCTTGTTCGCCACGTACTATGCAGCCATCATGCCGCCGCTCCAGCACATCCTGCTCAAGTGTCTCCACGAGAGCGTCCAGCAGACAGCTTCGACAGCAGCAGCAATGGCAGGACCAAAGAAGACCCAGTTGGCTGCATCCAGCTCGTTCACGCTGGGCGGCATCACGCTCGAGTGCCTGAGCCTCATCGGCCAAGCAGTCGGCAAGGACCTGTTTGCCCGCGACGCACCTGCAATCCTCAAGGTCATGGCCGAGATGCAAGCGACGCCGTCCATCGTTGGCAACGAGTTGATCCGCACCTACTTGTTGCAGGCCTGGGCTCGCTGCTGCACGTGTCTTGGCCACGAGTTTGCACCCTACTTGCCGCTGGTGATGCCGACGCTGCTCGAAGCTGCAACGCAACAGGCCGAGTTTGAAGTCGATCCGTCAACGCTGTCCCGTGACGACGAAGACGACGAGGAGGATGGTGGTGGCTCGACGGACAATGAAGACATTCAGCTCGCGCAAGTGAACGACAAGTGCCTGAGCATCCGCACGTCGATCCTCGAGGAGAAAGCGACGGCCTGTCAGCTCTTGGCCGGTATGGTAACGGACCTGCAAGACGCCTTCTTCCCCTATGCGGAGCAGGTGACGCAAGTGTTTGCTCCATTGCTCACTGAGTCTGTGCACTCGGACATTCGTGCGGCAGCGATTCGGTCTATGCCTGCGCTCGTCAAGTGCGTCGCAGTGTCGACTGCAGCTCCTGGTTTCAAGGACCACAGTGGAGCCGCGATGAAGCAAATGGTGGACTTTGCACTGGGCCGTCTCGTACACGCGCTGACCTCTGAGCCTGAGGTGGAGCTGGTCGTGAGTATTTTGCAGAGCATGACGAGCTGTCTCGTGTGTGCCCGGGAGCTGCACCCGACGCTGGAGCTGAATGACGCTCAACTGCGGGAACTCGTGCACGGGTTCCTAGTGGTGTTAGGCGACAGTTTCCAGCGCCGTGCAATCCGAAGAGGTGGGAACGGGAGCGACGATATGGAAAGTGGCGAGCCCGAGGGCGATGTCGAGGAGGAGAAAGAAGAAGAAGAAGAAGAAGAAGAGGACACTGCCTCGCAAGTGAGTGAGGGCCAACTGGCCGAGCAGGAGCTGCAATGTGTCCTCGCAGAGTGCATTGGTGCGCTTGCCAAGACGCACGGCGCTGGGTTCTTTCCAGTCTTTATGACTCTCTTATGGGAAAAGGTCGCAGCGCTGGGTGCGCCTGGATGCCTCGTGGAAGACCGTCGACTGGCACTGTTTGTCCTGGACGATGTGCTGGAGCACTGTGGGGACTCGGCCATGCGTCACCTGGACGTCTTTTTGCCTGTTCTGGAGAACGCGTTGCTTGAAGTGAGCGAGCCTGCCCTTGTGCAGGCGGCAGCGTTTGGCGTGGGAGTCTGCGCCTCGCAGGGCGGGGAGTTGTTTGCCCCACATGCAAAGCAGTGTCTCGAGCTGCTTCACAACGTGGTGGCTTCGCCCCACGCCCATCGTCCAGAACAGCGGAACGCGACTGACAATGCTGTTGCTGCACTGGGCAAGTTCTGCGAGTTCCAGGCCCGTGCCATTGATGCAGCGACGTTGTTCCCGCAGTGGCTGGACCTGCTGCCGCTTTGCGGAGACCTGGAAGAGTCACTTGCAGTGTTGCGGCGTTTGTGCCGCTACGTGACCGAGCGCCATCCGCTTGTATTGGGTGCCCCCGACTTTCGGCACCTCGACAAGATTGTCACTGTGTTGGCTGCCGTTGCGGACGAACCGTTTGTGCAAAAGATGCGCGAGGCCGTGGGCGAGAAGGAGACGTCTGCTCTTTGTCAGGAGCTCGCGTCGATTCTCGTTGGTCTTCGATCGACAGTACCAGTGGCGACGATGGATCGAGCATGGGCTTCTTTAACATCTTCGCAACGGGTTGCACTGCATGCGCTGTTCGCGTGACAGAGGAAGGACCTGGTGGTAAAAGGTTTATAGGTAGGCGGTAATAGTAGTTGGTCTACACAATGGATACGAGTGATGGCAGACAAGAGGTCTCTCGTGGTTCTTGATGGCTATCGTGAAAGGAGCTGTCAGGTTAACTGCTTTGGTGTCTAAGGGTGTCCGATGCTCCTTATGTAGTATAATTGATGCTACGCGAATGATTGAGGCAATCGCATAGCCATTGCGTTCCTAGATCGAGTTCCGAGAAGGAGAAGAAAGAGGTCCAACCCGCATGTAGAGATCGATCCGTATAGCTTTTGTCTGGATTGGAGTCGGGCATCTTCGTACACAATAGCGTTCTGGATCGGTCAGCTACAACTACTGGCTTTGTGAGATCAACAAACACGCACGTAACTATCGCCTTGCGCCCGTTCTTCGCAAGCACGTAAACTTGAGTTCAGCGTTGATCGACAGGCTACTTGCAGCGAGGCTTCAACAGGTTCAGTGTGCTAGTGTTGGTCGATAACCTGGGCAAAGCCCCCATTACGTGTCGCGTTTATGCTGCTTTGGCCGTCGATCTTCTACGTCGAGCATGGGGAAAGCAGCACGATGAGAGCAACGTTGGTAGAGTGCTATCTTGTTTCCACACACGAGGTCAGCTCTGCCTGCCGCGAAAGGCCAGAGGAAGTGCAAAAGGTCTGCGCACATTCTGAAATGATTGAAACGTTGTCGCTTGACACACTGTTACATGCTCGCCAACTTGTGAAACTCTGTCTGCCGTGAGCACAGACAAGTGTTCGATATGCTATCTCGACTTTGCTGCAAGCAGTTATCTCCCTGGCAAAATGAGGCAACAGATCATGTAGCTCTCACCATGCCGCAAGAAAACGACGCTGCTATCGCTACAACTGTGAAGATGCGAATGACCGAGAAACCCTTGCGCTTTGGCTGTGACCAGAGCACGTGAAGCGCGTTCACACCGAAGGAATGCTACTGCGTGATGTCGCCTGTTGCGAATCGATACGTGGGCCGTCTCTTGTGTCGAGCTGAGCTTGCACGGATCTGCTATAAATCGCTCACTCGGTACGCTCGCCACCTCAGCAGCTATTGCAATGGACATCGAGGGATGGAACTCATCTGAACATTCGCTGTCGAATTCCACGTCTCGTCATCTGCCACATCACTTGCAGATCAAAGCCATAAGCGATCGGACACGAACCTGTTGTTGCTGCATCATCAGGTCGTTGTTTGAGCGACAGTTCCGACCGCAATCAACAAAGCTTCTGCGTCATACATGGGCTGACCCAACCAGTCTCTATTCATCAGCTCGGACAGACTGCCTGGTAGAAGGAATCGCCCACTCGCGCTCGAGGCATCGACCTGCGATGACACAATTGACGACGACTGGTCTGACGAGTACGATGCATACGATGCAATACGTAGGAGGCACGTGTAGAACTACTACTGCAACTAATGCTACACCTGTCTACGATAGTGTGCGTCGCATCTGTAATGGAAGAAACATTGAGGCGAAAGCATATGCTGCTGTGGCCATCGCCTCTTCTCTTTGCCATTCTGTTCACAACTGCCAGTACTTCAAGTCTTCCACGTCGTCTGACCGACGTCGCCACTCGTCGTTGAGGCGATAGTCCTGACCACACTTTGCCATGCGCGACATGGTGCGACACGGGACTCGATCACGTCAACGTGGTTTGCAACCAGTCTGCATCGTACCGCAGCGTCAAGCGCTCAACAAGGTGACGATGCGTCAACGAACGACCATCTTGGCTACTATCGCATCACTGCTTGCCCGTCCACATCCCAAGCACGTGCACGAGCTCAACTTTACCACGAAACCCGCAACGTTGGGGACGGGGATCTAGCACAGACCATTCCCGGCAGTGTGGCCACTGCGATTGTATAGCACTATCAACTGGGGACTCGCTCAGTGTAGCAGAGCTTCATCGAGAACGAGAGCTGCAAAAGCGACGAGCTGCTGACGAACCGGCCAGTGCATACCCGATCGCTCACGAAGAGTCTACCAACGAAACAGCCGTCTGGAACTCCTTTCCCAACCCGTGTCGTCATCATGTTTACAGAGTGCACGACGTCAACCTGAAAGGCTACTGCGGATGTTTTGCTCAGCAGCTCCTGTTCTCGCTCGCTGCTCTCTCCCCCCCAGCATTGCACCGCCAACACATGTGGCAAGTGTCGGGATACGCGTGACAAGAGCAAGATGACTGCATCAAGAGATAACACGATCCGAAGAACGATCGGACGAGAGGCAGACAAGAAGAACTCCACAGAGTAGAAAGAGAGAGAGAGAGCGCGCACGTGTACTGGATATCGAGCCGTCATCGGCGGCGGCGTGGCGTAATCATTACATCTTCCAGCCCCTACGTGGACGCACTAGGAAGCAGTCGCCGCTCGTGCTTCAACGATGTGCCCCCCCCCCCCCAAAACCTTTCATCCATCATCCGTCGTCCCCTCTCCGCCGTCCATTCCGTCATCCATTGCCTCGTCCGTCCCACACCGTCAATCCCGATAGCACCCAAGACCCCATGCAGCCATTCCACACCGCCCTCACCAGCCAGTGACGGTCCACGCGTTCCCAAATCGAATACCCTCAGACAACCAAACCCAAAGCCATACACACACATACACACACACACACACCCGAGCGAGCGACCGACCGACGGCATTCGTCTCGAAAAAAAAACGCGTACCGTAAACGACATTCGTCATCCACTCGGCCAGGAAGCGACTTACGAGCGGGCGGTTTTCTGTCGCCTCATCTCTCCATCTCTGGTCCCTACCTCACAAACACGAACGCAGAGCACCTCCATCCCCCCCCTCTCCTCCCCCTCCTCCCCCTATTACCAAACCAACCAACTACCCAACCAGCCGACCAGTTAACCAACCGACCAACCGACCAGCTAACTGTCCAACCCAACCCAACCCAATCCAACCCAACCGACTACCCGGTTGAAACCAAATCAGCTTCCACCTCCTCACCCGATGCAACTTGCAGCAATGGAACTATCGACGGCGTTCGCCCCTCGTGCCCATTCAACTCGAAGACCACATCGTCGTCGGGCCACCAGCACCAGTACCTCGTCCTTATCCTCTTCGTCTTCGTCTTCGGTCAAAAGTCTCCACCGCAAGAGCAGTCGCCACAGCAGTAGCAGTCGCGTCGCCAGTACAACGAGCACCGCAAATAGTACCTCCGCCGACGCCCTCGTCCACCGCACGACCGCCACGTCCGCTGGTAGTACTGTCCCCGTGACGATTGAGTTCCTCGAGCACGTCTCGCTCGAACTGTCGGTGACAAAGAACCGCACCGACGTGCGGTACGTCATGACCGTGCGCCACCGCGAGCTCGACGTGCTCTGGCGCCACGCGCGGTCGTTCGACGAGTACCGGAAGCTCCAGCAGCGGCTCGTCAAGCGCCTGCAGCACGGCCACTTTTGCACGGCCGACTGCCCGTGGCTCTCTGGCTTTCTCAAGAGCTACTTCCCCAAGAAGTGGGTCCCGACGTTCGCCAGTGGCCGCGCGGGGGTGATCCACCAGCGACGGCAGAGCCTCGAGCGGTTCTTCGCAGTGCTCTTTGGGTTCGTGACGGACCGGCAAAACTTGGGCTGTGCGATCGTTGTGACGGCCTTTGCCGACGAACTCGTGCGGTTCGTCTATGGCGATGCCCTGCAGCAGTACGGACTGCAGTACGCACCGGTGCAGTGGACAAAGAGGGACAGAGGATGGGCCCACGTGTACGGCGCCAAGTTGAAGGAAACTGCGACGTCGGTCAAGCAGCACTTTCGAGGACGTGGGGCAGCTGAGCAGCAGCAGCAGGAGGAGGAACACCACCACCAGCAGCAGCAGCAGCAACAGGCGAAGCAGTCAGTGCGAAGGTCGTTGCCTACGAGTTCGTCGAGGGACTTAGGTGCCGCGTTTGATGTGGTCACGGAACTGGACGAGTGCGACGACTGTACGATCTGTGGCTTACGGCTCTGTGGAAACGCAGCGTCCGAGGATTTGCCGTTGATGCCGCGGTCGAATCTGACTGCTTTGCTCTTGGAAGAAGACGAGGCTGTGAATGGCAGTGTCGATGAGATCATTGACAGCAGCAGGTCGACGGCGTGCTGCACGGACACGGGCGGGTGGCTCCAGTCTCGCGCCAACAGGAACAGCAACACCAGTACGAGCGGTGTGTTTACGCCGTCGTGGCAAGGTATGGGCACGCCTAGTGGGAGCAGCACTGCCTGTGCTGTCGGCGGCTATCGACCGAATCAGAGCAGCGTGAACCGACGACGAGCAGCGACGTACTACTTGACGACACTGAACTGCGGTCACCAGTTCCACGACGAGTGCATTGTGGCAAAACTGAACGAAGCGTTAGTTTGTCCGACGTGTGGACGCGCCCAGACGAACGCTTGAAGCGCTTTGCAGGTGGTGTAAGTCGCAACAGACGGCACAATGACGAGCTATGGTGACCTGAAACAACCGAAGCTAACGAACGTGGAGATGTTCTTCCGCAACGATCGTGCGTCTCGACATTGACACATGTGACTCTCGTCTGTCCGTGTGCTTGGAATGGAACGACTTTCTGTTGAAGGACATACTGATCGCTGTTGATTTCTCGTTCAGAGCAATGGAAGTTGCAGCTCTCATAGCTTACGACGTCTTGATGAGCTGTACTAGCGCGCAATAGGCGGCTCGAAGCTTGAGCGCCACGTAGACAGCAATCGTTTGTCCGAGCAAGTTGGGCAGTGGGATGCAAAAGATAATAGATACCGACTACTCTTTTCGACTACATCATTGGTTTCTTGGATAGTCTTTCAGCGTCTTAGCCTCTTCTTGTACACGTACCAAACAGACTTGAGATATTGCTTACAGCTACCGCCCGATCGAACTCTGACGTCTTTGTTAGCGTAGCTCAACTATGGATCAACTGCCAAATCATGGGACAAGGTATCGTAACATGTGCCTCACGCCAGTGCAAGTCGAAGGGCTTTTGACGGATGAGTTGCCAATGTCGCGATGAACGACCGATTCGCACTACTCCAAACAGGTGCAAGCAGATTCCATTTTCACAGAAACGTACACGACGACTTGCGAGTTTTCGTCGAAAGTGACAGTCTCTTGCGAATCATAAAGCTTACGACTGTCGTGCACGACGCCATCTCGCAGGTGTTTGCGTGACACAATAGAGTTAGTGACAAGCGGGACAGCAACATGAGGCTATCGCGCTACGACTTGTGAGTCACGGGATGAAAGTCCGTGTCGAGTGCCTCAACACACCAGAGTGGCCCGGCTGTCATGTTGTGAAGCCCCTTTTACAAGCTGCATCGATAGCAGTACAGGATGCGATGTCGCGTGGGGAACGCCCCAGCTGTCATGGCAACTCGAGCTACTGCAGTCGGCAATGCTATCGATTGCGCAGTATGCGTATGCTTCAATTGGCTCGAAAACGAAGCCTATAACGTCCATCTACCCGCAGGCAACAACGGACAATTACGCTGTTGTAAAAGCATAAAGACGTTATGATATGGCAAGTCTGCACCAACGAGAGGGTGCAGGGGCTAGATCTTGATAGCTTACAGAGGTGCGTTGTAACACGACGCTCCAGTCGAAACAAGCCTTGCATCGACTATTTGCTTCCAACAGTGCAAGATTAACACTAGAGCTGGCGCGTTCTACCGAGTAAGAATACATGCTGCTGCAGATTCTGACTTGTTAAAACGATTGGACATGGTATTGGAGGCTCCTTGCTTTGCTGACGTTTGGACATGTGGTGTGGAAGTCGCAAACGTGAAGCATTTGGTTCTCAACGATGCACCTGCTCTTGACTGCTTCGTGACAGACTTCGACTTCACGGGCAGGCAGAATATCAGCTGATGCTGCTGTCTTGTACTGGACTACCGTGGATTTGGTTGTGTGTCACGCTACGAGTTCGCGACTCGCGATTGAGAATAGGGCAACATTTTACAGGTGCTTTCTTGTCTGTCTCGAGCGATGACGTCTTGGCCAAGAAGAGCCCTATCTACAGAGCTTACAGTAGACGGTGGCGAAAAAAGTACTACGAGACTAATGCTTGAGTAGTATAGACAGCTGTCACCGTACAATCAGTTGCTCTCATTGACAAATCGTACATGGTGCGATGAAGTAGAACTACTTACACTTACGATCGAGGTGAGTGAGATCTTGCCGACAGAGCAGAAGCTCAAACACCTACACGTGTCTATCTCAACGTACGTAACGACATACAGGTATATAGGGCTTTCTCTCAGCATAGCAGGTTGACAACATGCTTGTGTTCAGGTCTCAAAGATTAAATGTAATGAACATCATCGAGAAAGCGGCGAATGCTTCTTCCGCATCCATGCATTTACTACTAAACAAACAGTCCCATCACCAAGTATTTCGTCCACAGTATCGACCCAGCACTGCACAAGTGCAATGACCCCCAGGCTCCAATTCACGGATCTCAAACTTTATCTGATCATCGGGAAGGTATGCCACGTGCACGTCGCTACATTGTGTCTTGTCGCGTGCGCTCGTCCCCAAATTGCTTAATGAGCCCAACATGCCATTTTCAACGACGCTGTGAGCCATTCGCTCTTATGTTGCGCCTCGACAACGACATCGCCCGTATGTTGCGAAACGAAAGACCGAGCAACGTCACAATGACAGGTGGGCGACGGACGTTCGGGTGGGCGACGGTCGCGCGGCTGTTGACGGTTGCACGAACGTCGCTCGAACGGGGTCGGCACGCCCCCACCACCCCACACGCTCGCTCGTGCCTGGCCAAACCGATATCAACCTGTCAAAACCACGGGCTACAAAACCCAAGTCACTCATATTTCCGAAATTTCGAAAACCGAGCGGCTCCCCACCGACTATTTCCAGTCCCCCGCGTTCTCTCTCTCTCTCTCTCGACGTGTCGCCGCTGCAGTATGCTCTCTCTCCTCGCCAAAAGCCTCTCGGCACAGAGCAAACGCTCCATGAGCACCATCCGCTACTCGGAGTTCGGCCATCCGCTGACTGTCCTCCGGTACGTGCAGCACGCGACGCTGCGGCGATGCAGAGGATGTGGATTAGTGTGTGTGTGTGTTTTTTTATAAAAAGTGTATTTTTATCAGTCGAATCCATTTTTGTTGCAACGCTGTTCGATTTTGATTGTGCTGTTGTGGTGTTTGATTGTGGCGGTGCTGCTTTGTGGACGTATGTGTGTCACTAGAACGGAGGCAGACGACAAGGAGACAGCGCCCGCCACTGGTCAAGTGGCGCTCCGGTTCTTAGCCGCCCCGATCAACGTGTCGGACTTGTCGCAGATCCAGGGCACGTACGCGATCAAGCCCCAGTTCCCAGCGGTCGCTGGCAATGAAGGAGTGGCGGTCGTCACGGCAGTGGGTGATGGCGTGACTCACGTCAAGGTCAATGACCGTGTCATTCCCACGGGCGCTGCCTTTGGTAGGTGCCTAGAGGATGACGTTGTCACGTGACGTCCTGAGAAGTGGAGCTGGAGGGTGTGACTGCAGCTGACCGACGGACGGATGGACTGATTGATTGATTGATCTGTTGGTTGGTTATTTGGTTGTTGTCAACTGTGATGTAGGAACATGGCGGAGCAAAGCGGTGGCGAACAGCACCGAAGTGATGAAGATCTCGGAATCGATCTCGGTGGAAGATGCAGCAACTTTATCGGTGAACCCGTCGACGGCGTATCGGATGCTGGCGGACTTTACGACGCTGAGCAAAGGCGACGTTGTGATCCAGAATGGCGCCAACAGTGCAGTGGGTCAAGCTGTCATCCAGCTGGCGACGCTGCGGGGCATCACGACCATTAACATCATTCGCGACGACGGTGACTATGACGACACTGTGCAGCATTTGAAAAACCTGGGTGCCACGATTGTGTGCACGGCCGATTACATGGGCTCGGCCAAGTTCAAAGAGCTGATCTCCGACTTGCCGGCTCCGAAGCTCGCGCTGAACTGCGTGGGCGGCAAGACGAGCCTCGAGATGGCGAAAGTGCTGGCCAAGAAGGGCGTGCACGTCACATACGGCGGCATGAGCAAGCGGGCGGTATCGGTGAGCACGAGCGCTCTGATCTTCCACGACATTACGCTCAAAGGCTTCTGGCTGAGCCAGTGGGTCAAAGACTCGACTGTCGAGGAGCGTGCTGCCATGCTGTCGGAGCTAGCGGACCTCGTGGAAGCTGGGAAGCTGCGCACTTGGATTCAAACATATAAGTTTGCCGACTTTGACGACGCTCTGCACGCTGCCGTGAACCGCACAACCAAGCGCAAGGTCGTGCTGCTGATGGAGTAGACCACATCGTGCTGGTTGCGTGTTTGGTGTCGTCCATTGAGCGCAGACGTGCCAAACAGAGAGGAAGAGGCACAGCAGACGACGTAACAAGAGTTTGCAATCCAACGCTTGCAATAAACATACCGGAGCATGACCACATCGTGCGCTTGCGTCAAACCAGTGCACTGCTTTTCTCATATGCGCGTCTATCGATACAGCAACGCAATGTGCTCGTCCTTCGCTGTCAACGCCGTCGTTGTTGTTGTTGTCGAGTTCTCCGTCGTCAGCACTCGAGCTAACCGTTGCTGCACTTGCAGCGTGTCGTCAACTGTCATGTCCTTTGCAAAAAGCGGCAACGCCCGACTCAACGCCTCAACGGCCTCGTACGTCCCAGCCAAGTCTCGACCAGGCTTGTGCCCCTTGGCCAGCAGCACGTGCGTGCGTGGCCACTGCTCGACGCGAATCCACTGCAGTAGCGCAGCCAGCCACGGGTCCTTGATCTCCCACGCCGGATCAGCAGCTGGCAGCACAGCCGCCACGTCTTCTCCAGCGGTCTCGACGTTCACGTTGCGGTAAAACACGTTCAGACCGCCGTCTTTTGCGTAGGGCAAGTGCGCTGCTGCCACGACCGTCAGCGTCTCAACGTTCGCTCGACTGAAGGCAGACACCAGTGCATCTGCTACTTCCCATTGCTCGTTCGCCTGTAACTTCGCCGTGTCCACTGTAATAATTGTCGCTTGGTCGTGTGGGTACTGGTACAACCGAAGAAATTGGCAGATTTCTATGGGAAAAAGCGTTTCTAAATCCGAGCGCGGCACAGGCACAGCGTCTGTGCTGGCAAACTTAGCACAACCGACCAGGACGTCTGCCAGGGACAATAAGGTGCTGCTGGTTAGTCCACAACGCGCAAACGATGGCGAAGAAGGTGAACGAAACGTACGCTTGCCAGCACGGGAGATATCGTCAAAGGCGAGGAACACGCGCGGCGAGAGCGATCCAGCCATGCGAGACGGTGATGTGTTTCGATTTAGTCTCTTTTGGCCAGAAAGAGGGCTGCGACGTGGATGCCAAGCCAAGTGAATTTCTAAACGATAGAAATGATGTGTCGAAAAAGCAGCAAATTCAGTCCGTAAAATAAGGCGGCGTCGACTATTCAGCGTTTCTAAATTGCTGCATTTATTTATGCTTTCGTGGTAATATTTCAGTGCGGTAAACAATGGCCTGCTGCTGATCCCTCCGACTCACTTTTTGACGCAAAGTATCACTTCACTTTCACGACCGCAAACTTGTGTCACGGCCGCTTGCTTGCGACGGACTATCGTCAAGTCGAAAGGTCCTATCGGGGCCACAACGATACCCTTCGTCAGTGGTGTCTGGCATTGTCACAATGTGTAGATTCTTTATTAGCATACTATCGTACAGACAGACAGCGCTTTCGCGGGGTAGTTTTTTTCGCTACAAGCGCATTGCTGTACTCTGACGTTAGGACTGTGGATAAATTCTTGGTGCATCCGCTATATGGTACATGCAGAGATTCTGCACAGGACACCGCCATCGACACAAGTCCGAAAAGACCCGTTGTAAATAATGGGGTTTGTAAACGAGTGCTGCACCTTCGTGACAGCGAAGGGTAACTAGGGTATCCAGAGTATGCAAGCGCCGATCTTAAGGTTGAAAAAGGCAAGACGTCAGGGCAGAACTAATGCAAGAGAACGCGTCGCTCGTGTCAGAGAGAGATGCATAAGGTGCTCCCTCGCACTTTCTATGAATGCCCCGTGACATTGCGCTTTGAGCCTTCGATCACGACAAGCCGACCTTTTTCTTCATTGTTGTGTTTGGATCTTCTCCCATGATTACCTCCAACGTCTCGGTAAGCACGTATCGATTGAAGGCAGGAAGAAACACCATGAATTGTTTCGACACCACGATACGGTGGCGGTAGCTAGAAAGTAGCTCCTGATTCGAACAGAGAATACATAAATTTGCGTACCGCCGTCATGCACCCGTCGTGCGAAAACGAGGATGAGATCAGCCGACAATGATGTCAATTATCGACGTAAGAAGAATTGTTTTTGTAGCGGCGAAAGCACTCGCTTGTCACATCCCGGTGGATCAGCATACAGGCATCTGTGTCCACACTTTGCTCGTTTGCCGTCTCTATAGTGGCCCCCACGGTCGCTTCAGGTCGTCAAAAGCCAACCCATCGAGATCATTTTCGTTCGATCGACTGCAACGTGGTTCACCCGATTCCAAATCGGTGTCCAAAGAGTATGTTGCTGGCAGAAGGTTCTGTGCGGTCTGCCATCGGCAAGGATGGGCGATCGGTGACTGTTTGACCAGCTGATCATTGCTTTTTCGTAGATGCACTATCGAGTCGTGTTCGCTCGTGTATATGTCGTTGCAAGTAGTTTGCAGACGCAAAGAATGATCTTGTATTGACGGCATGTGCTTGTGGTCATCCTGATCGTGGAACAAACTTTTACTTTTGAAGACGACACCAAAGATACTTTCGACGTAATATTTTCACTTCGATCGCAGGAAGCTTTGACTTCGCGCAGTTACATCCACAGAACGACGTTGACCAAGCCGCACATCGCTGCAGAATCTATGAGTGGATCCGCTGCTGCAGTTCGAGCTCAACCGGATCATCATCAGCGCCAAGCGCCAGCACCAAGACGATAAGGCCCACATACAATGATGAAAGCTGTGCAGTAAGAGTCTATACTTGCCATGCGTCAGCTATCGTCCGTCCATGTGCTGTGTTACAGGGGATTATGACCTTGCTGATGATCAAGTATAGTTCTTCGCGACACATGTCCATCTTCATCTCCTGACGTTGCAAGTGTGATCGACACTTGCTGCCCACGATCTTAATCTGTGTGCAAACATAACCATCACACACCGAGACCACGCTTCATCTTACATCTCCTCATCACACAGGAAGTGATACGACAAAGCCTGACAACAATACTTTGGACTGTGGTGCACATAAAACGATCGAAAAGAGCGAGCCGGCCGTTGCTGTAACGGGGCAGCCCGTTACATGGAAATTGCCACTCTAAAGAAAGTGACAATAAAGAATATTAAGTTGAATATTCTTTGAATAATATCACCAAAGTGGTGATATTAATGGGTCGACCAAAGAGTCTGCTCATTGGTTGATATCTTGACGATATCAACCCACCAATCGCCGCAAGACGCGCGCAATGAGTGGTGAGTAGACGTCACCACACACTCAGTTATATTAACATAATTAAGTTAAGTCAAACAGAGAGACAGTAGTTAAAAGACTTAATTATATTAATATAACAGTTTTACTTTTCCCTTATCGACGCTTCCTCGCTTGCCACGTGTACGTCTGTCGGGGCACCGAAACCCTTGCGTTAAGTTCACGCAAGGGTGTGCCCCGTTACACCTGGTAGCACTTTGTAGTCCTTCCAAGGACCACAACATCCAACATGAACATGTTGGATGATGAAGGGACCTTTCACGCCACGCGTGAAGGGTTTAACCATTTAAATGACATCGAATGGGGTGCGGTAGAGCGAATGAGTTCTACCGTAGGCGAGTTCGCCATTAGCGCCATGTTGGAGTCTCTAGACAGAGACCAACAACATGCCGCTATCGTCAAGTTCATCCAAAATGAACTTGTCGCCGAAAGGGAGAAAGTAGCCTTGCTTCACCAGCAAGGCTCTCAACAGGCTGAGCAGTTAAGAGAACTTGGTGCTCAACAGACAGAGCTGTTGAGACAGCAGCAATTCCATGCTGCTGTGGGCGGGACGGCACATGAGCGTCGTCCCGAAGTCATGAAAATTGACATCTCCAAGTACAGTGGAGTCCCGGAAGACTCCCTGTTACTGTGGTTTGTCGAACTCGACAGAGCCTTAAGGGCTCGTCGCGTCGAAGATGAGCAAATGAAACTCACATTTGCTCAGACCCATTTGGCAGGGCGTGCTAAAACTTGGTCCCTGGGGCTCGAGAGTAGCGACACACATGTCTTTAGGTCGCTATATGACTTCAACTCCCAGGTCAGACAAACGTTTGAGCCTCCACGGGATGAGTTCAGGGCTCGTTCTGAGCTCCTGAAACTCAAGCAGGGTAAGCGTGATGTGCACGCTTACGCACAACATATACGACTTCTCGCGAGTAGTATAACTGCTAACCCAGTCCATGAACACACGTTGATTACGGTTTTATGCAAGGGCTCGCAGAAGGGCCCGTCAGGAGCCACCTGTCCGCCTTGAGCTGAATGCGCTGGAAGATGCGATATCAGCCACGGAACAGGAAAATTTTATCATGAGACAGGCTCATGCTAGCTCAAACTCTTATCGTCCACCGAGACGACAAGAGATCGGAGGTCCAGAACCAATGGACCTCTGTTATGTTGAGAGCGAGAGACCTCGCTCTTCAAACAACAAGCGATTGCAGAAGTGCAATCGCTGTCAGAAGTTAGGGCACTACGCATATGAGTGTAGTGCTTCACGCCCAGTACCAAACAGTACTGAGCGAATTGGACGACCATTCGCCAAGAAGGGCAATGGGCGTGGGTCCAGCGCTGTTGCGAAGCCGCAACAACGAAACGGACCATCAAAAATTGGTCGGGGTCAGTAGGGGCGGAGCACCCTACTGTTCCATCAAGCTCAAGAGAATTTGCAAATCTCTTGACGAAATTTGCTCCTGATACACAATCAGTGTGTGTCTCTGCACCTGGTGATGACGTTTCGCTCATCACCTTGAAGTTGGAAGCGACAAATGATTTGTCACTTTGTGCCCTAGTAGACTGTGGGGCGTCGAACAACTTTGTTCGACGCCAGTCACGAGAGGGTCGTAGGCTCAAGTTCGTTGAGCGCGACATTCCCCTCACGAGGATGACGGTGCGCCTTGCAACAGGCGCATCGATTAACGTTGATAAACGTGTAGTAGGAATAGACTACACGTTAGAGGGCGAACAGTACGATGGTGAATTCATCGCACTGGATCTGGATGACAAATTTGATGTCATCCTGGGATTACCTTGGCTCAGGAGATACGAGCCAAGGGTGAGCTGGCAGCATCGATCCGTAAAGATTCCTACCGCTTGTTCATCATATATCCATTTGATGAAAGTTATGGAGCATCCACAAGCGTGTGGATGTACTGCGAGCGAGTGCGATGTCCTCACTTGAGGTATGGGCGTTAGTACGACTGCACAAGACCTAAGTGTAACTGATCACTACACTGTAGAGTGAGCTCCCGGCGGCTGTACAGAAGTACGGGCTGCGCCGAAGGTCCACCACTCGAATAAGTCGAGTGGACCGGTACATGGATGCATGCCTAGCGGGCATTATCTTAGAAGGAAGAAACCTGTAGCCTTCAAAGGGCAACATGGACATCCTAGGTCGACTGGAGAGTCGACCGTAGAGGATCGGTGCCTGACTGTGGTTGCACAGCCACAGTCAGAAGACGTATAGAGAATAGTTTCAACGTACTTGAGGAAGGAATTCCTCAAGAGTCACTTGCTGAAAGATTAGGCCCTCAGCAACCTGTGAAAGCAAGTTCCCAGGAAGAAACCGAGACGTTGACCGTCTTGGTAAATGACGGATCAAGTGTAGGCGCTTATACACTTGATCTGATTGTGCCTCTGAAGTTAACTTCGGAGATAACTCAGTTGCCAACGCTAGAACCGAAACGGTTCTTGCGTGATCTGCGTAGTGGCAAAGTCAAGCAGATCTGCATACTCGTCACAGAGGACGAGTATGTGACCGACATTCGGTCGGCAACAGTATTTGCTGAGAACGAACGGGTTCTCAGCAGCTCATCGATGGACGAAAGTGTCCTCGATGAGAAGACTCGGATTGAGCGATACGCGTCCCAATCCTGGGAGTCACTTCAGGCAAATCCTTTGTATAAGGATTTGATCGAATTCAGGGATGTGTTCCCTGAATCCGTACCTTGCGAGTTGCCTAAGGACAAAGGCACTCGACACGAGATCGAGCTCAAACCGGGCTCGAAGTACCGTGTCATG